GTGCTTAATCAGGGAATTGAACCCTCATTCACAGATTACTTTTGATACGAAATCTAACAGTCTTCTTGGAAGGCTAAGGTTTATCATCAAATATCTGAACAAAAAATATTTCCAGTAATTTCATACTTAAGCCTTTCTGAAGAAAATTATATGTTAGAACCATTAGTATTATTTTATTGGAGTGAGTTAATTTTATCTTAATTGAATCAAAAAATGTAACAAACTTAAAATACAATATTAGATGTTTTTCTTTAAATAAAAGATAAAGATTATTTAAGAATTATAATAATTATATTGTTTTGATAACTTTTTACTTCATAACATATTACGGTAATCATTTTTTATTAAAAATATAAACCTGAAGTAAGTCAATTAATTATTTAATCTTTTTATTTTTTTTTTGTTTTTTCCTGTCTGTTCGTCACTGATGAAGCAGTTATGATTCACCTCATTAACCATTATTGGTTCTTACTCTCCAGTGTCTGAAGAGCCTGAAAAACACAATTTCCAAGTCAATATTAAACACTTGTCTCTTTGTTATGAATGTTAGTGGGTGTGTGAAACCCTTACTTGAAAGGATACTTTTCTTTATTTTTTCAAATTTTTTTCACTTCCTACAGTTACTTTCTCACTGCACTTGTGTAAAATCTAAGTGAAGGTGTAACACCGTACCAACCAGAGCCGGCAGTAACAAAATAAAGCTGTTTGCTCGTGTAGCAATTATGAAGCCAAGTGTTTGATGTCACAGTTCCTGACAGTTGTGTGGCTGGATAATAACCTCATCCTCCTCATCCTGCGCTCCACAGTCATCATCGCGGCCACAGTATCACCAACACACGACCTGTTTCACAAGGCCTTTATTGAGTGCATTTTAATACAATAGTTCTCAGAAAGTTACCTTTTACAAACTCTGGACATGTGTCACAATTTACAAGGGGTTGCTATACAGGAACGGAAGCAGAAAAGAGACACATTTACACACTAGAAACAAGGTACCTGTGCACGTGTATATGTTTGTGCACACTAATGTGCCTGCTATGCACAAACACACACATTCAGCCATAGCCAGTCGCCCACACATAGACGAATAAACTAACAAACTATGACATGTGCACGAGAATGCAACTCCAACTTTGTGTACAGCAGAAAGAGAGGTGGTAACCTTTTTTTTTTGAAAGGATGATTTCTTCACAGTTGCCGATAGACTGTCTTGAATCTTCATGTTCATCCAGATGTTGTTCGTGACTCTTCAACCCTGCAGGCTGAAACAAAGGAGAGAAAAAAATCGGTCAGTTTACAGTGTAGTTAAGTGTAGTTTTGCAGGATATGTTGTCAGATCCTTTCAGCTGCTTTGACCTGTGAAAGACAACCCTGAAATCAAACAAAAGTTCCCTGGTCACTTCTGACAGAAAAAAGCACTGTGAACATTTAACCAGCTCCAAATGTACACTATGTAACAGTGGGTAATAAATGGCCTCTATACAAAGTGGTTTTCCAGATAGCTTCTCCATTCCTCACTCTGAAATGTCATTATAGTCAGTTATTTAGAATAACAAATACAGCAAATGGGCAAAAGTGGAATTACAGTGTTTCAGAATGAATACATTACATAATCTCATTACCAGACTCTCTTCGAAAAGGGAAAGACATAGGAAAGAGTTGAATGAGACTAATGCATTCACACATTAGAGAGGAGATCTTATGCTGATCTAAAGTGGCACAGAAATAGTAACGGAATACCTTAAAAACCTGACCTGAATTGATGGAAAATGTTGCAGTTGGTTTATGGCCTATAAAATACTAAACTTAAAGATCTGCGAAAAAAGGTTTTATTAAGTTTTATTATACTTTTCAAGACCACTTTTCTGGAAAATAGGGTATGGATATGCGTATATTTTATAAGTTCCTTGAGTCTTCAGTTCTGGTGTAAAAAAACACATTGGAGAGTGACATAATTAACGTCTGCTCTGTATGTGTTTGGTTTGTGACACTCACTGGTGTGTGCAACCGACCATTTCTGCGACTGGCCCTGGTCCAGCTAAGCCCAACCCTTGCCCAGGACAGCTTGGTTACACCCAGGATAAATGAACTGGAGGCCTGCCAGCCTAGAGGAGTAGCCCAGAGACAGGGCAAGGCGGGTGGAAGAAGAGCAGAGTGACTTCAAGGTGGTGAGTATACTTAATAATCTACTAATGGGGCTGCCGTAAATTTCTAATTTTGGATGCGAGGGGGTTAGAGCAGTCGTCACTCATGTCTCTTCAAATAGGCCCAAAAGGGATTTGTGCGGGGTCAGAGCTACTGCGAAGAATTTATACTACAATAGCTCACGATAATTGTCTGCCAGCTAAGTGACTTCCTGAGAGACTTTCACTGACATAAAACCATGGCAGTGTGTCAGAAGAATATTGCGCTGGGACATTTTGCCCAGTTAGCTGCTAATCCTAATGTTATTTAATGAACAGTGGAAAAAACCCCGATAGTGTACATTTTTAAATCCTGACACCCAACTGTCAGACAGAAATAACTTAAATAAAAAAAAAACACCTATTGGGTGTATTCCAACAAAAAAAATTCAAGTGGAAATAATGTAGACGTCACACCATGCAATAAAAGTGTATAACACAGATTTGTGCAGGCATGAAACTCCCTCTGACACCGTAGCGGTTCGCTCTTAACCTGCCTTCCCATACAGGATGGCAGCAGCACAGAGACGGTGTGAAGAAATTCTCAGCAGCACTTAGCTACAAGTCTCTGGGAGGCTGTGCTGTTCACCACAATGGCAATGTGCCACTGTTGGCAAAAACTCAACCCAGACTCTTATCTCAGTGTGAAGATCTGATGCCAATTCGCTTAGTGGTTTACTTTAGGTTACTTTCCAGGACTTTCAGGCCTTGCACTTGATCTGCTGTAAACATGTAAACGCCTATTGGATTAGCCTGAAATCAATTTAACACATACATGGCAATTTATTGTTAAGTGGTAAAAAAAACAAAAAATTCTCAGCGATGTTAAATGCACTTACCATGGGTTTTTGCTGGTCAGAGCACAAAGATTCCTCTCACCTCCTGATGGAGCTGAGCATTTCCGACACAAACGGCAACAGGTCAAAGGGGAAACAAAACATACAGCAAATCATCTGTACAAGTAAGTGCTCACCAGCAAGAAATGGCATGTGTACAGCCACGCTGAACACAACCTCTTTTAAATGATTCATCTGTCAATCATTTCTACACCTAATGCTGATTTTCATATAGATCTACAATACCAATAGTTCACTCAACATTCCTTTCACAATTTCCTCACTTCAGGTTCAGTCAGGATTGTCCTAGTCGCTGCCCAAACAGGACATGCAAGACAGCATCCGTGTTTTCTGATGTACGGAGGAAAGGGGGGTGGGGGTTGGGGGGCGAAGGTGTCTACACATGGCATGTGTGTCAACCACAATCTAATCAACAAATGTGTCGTTGCCAAAAATGCAAGCAGAGAGTCCTGTACATACATATTCATACACACCTTCAATATGAAGGTTAACTAGGAAAGATATAATTATATTCAGCCAGAGATAAACATTTCTATAGTCTCTGAATCTGGGTGGCACTACCTAAAAATTGTCCTTTGGCGAGGCCCCCCACCCACAGGTAGTGTTAGAGTTAAAATACAAGTGGACAGCATCCTGCTATAGTGAAAAACAAACAAACAAACAGATGGTACAAGACCAACATATAACTAATATCTAGGTTTTCACAATTTCATTGACAATTTGTTCAAGTTCAAGCAAAAGAAAAAAAAAAAGAAAACAGAGTGGGATTAAAGTCAAAGGTGGCGCTCCACTGTACATCCCTGTATTCTTCACCCTCCAGTTACTTCCACTGGTAATTGCTTTTTCTTCTGGGATTTATGTCTGGCCAATTCAAGGCATCTTCATTGCACACAACACTATGGATTAAAGATCACAGGTCAAAGTGTCTCACATTTTTGTTCACAAGTTTAACATCTTCTACGTAAGTCCAGATAATATAGACATACAATATCACTCGTTTCACCACAGAGTCTGAAAACGTGAGAGGTTCCCCGTGTCAATGTCTGACTGTTGAAATCTGGTGTTGTTTTGGTTCACAATGACATGGATGAGCCGTGAGCCACAGCTAACGGTGACTACCCTTGTTCTGAGGGTAGGTAGACAAACAGGGTTGAGTCTGGACCCTGAACTCCTTGGTGTGGATTGCATGAAGTGTGTGACAGTGTTCACCATGTGGAAGTGTAGACCCTGGTCTCCTGTAGTCATGGTAATGGATTAGATTAAGACAATAGTCTCCACTCTGGTGCGTTCCGATGGATTGGGGGTCATTCGAATGCTGCCACTGTTGTTGGTCCTGTGAATGCTGCCCATTCTGTGGCACAGCGCCTCCTGTAGTCATGCCATCGTAATGGGCGCCTGGCTCATCTGTCCTCTCATGGACTGGATGTTACTGAGGATCTTCTTTTGGTGGCCGGCCAGGGTCACTCCTATTCTCAGCAGATCTCTGAGGGGAAACATAATAGGTTGGAGGTTACAATACTGAGGATAAAACGTGGATACAGTGTTCATCACAGTACAATTTTAAAATGTGAAGTCAATGTCACTTGAAACAGTTACTTTTAAATTCCTGTTCCTTTTGTAGTGTACTTGTACTGTACTTTGCTTCTGTAAACTCAACTAAAAGTGAATGCTCCCTCTGTTGGACAAATGAAGACCTTACTTTATCTTACCTTATATAAAACAGTTGTGCCCAACGTTAATTTTGGCTTGTGACCCTATTTTGACATGACAAATTTCTGGAGACTACAGAGATATTTTTTTACGTGATTGTAGCCGTAAATAAAGATGTGCCAGCTCAGATATCTTCATATGCTGCATTTTATATTCATTAAAATGAAAAAGGAATAATAATTGAAAAATGTTTTTAAATTCCAGATGACACAGTGTGGGGTCGTGACCCCAAGGTTTAAAAACATTCATTTCAAGACTTAATCTGGTATGAGATTTGATTTATATTTGAAGATATGTTTGATGTGAAGCAGCTAAAACTGAAATACTAACGTCCAAAATAAATTGCAAAAAATTTGGAGACAAGACTAATTAAAAAATAACAAGATTGTACATGTGTGCATCCTAAATTACACAGGTCTAAAGCAATCTTTTCTTGGCCCATGATAGCAGGGGATTTAGTACTGTCTCATCTACATGTGGGTATTTTACAAAAAATTGTTTTCAACTGTGGTAAAAAGGCCATTACTCAAAAAGTACTTTGAGCAGAATAATACCGTCTTTGCTGTAACAGCTTTGAGATTTGAATATCATCATTGCAGAGCTGAAAGGCTCCCTTTACTTCACAGAACCATTGAACGACTCGCTTGGAGGCTTCACTCCAAAAATACATGCACTTGACTTTAAGCCATCAAGTAAATATGAGACATTTTCACATGATGCAGGTGAACTCACTCGGAGGTCATCTGAGCCACCAGCTGCAGGGAGGTAAAGCCTGAGTTGAGGAAGTTGTCTCTGTACTGGCTCATCTTTATGGCTACAAGCCATTCCTCCACAGAGCTGAAGGTGTTGAAGTCAGGTATGGATCTGTCCAACAGTGGCTGAGAAGGCCTGGAGGGGGCCGGGAGAGGAGGAGAAGGAGGAGGGAAAGATGAGAAATAGTCCGGTGTTTTGGCGCAATGTTAAGCAATGTAGAGGATGAAAGACCAGGTTGTGTGTTTGTGTGGGTGTTTGTAGAGAATGTTGAAAATAAGAGGAGAAAATCGTGTCTTTTTTCTCCACTGTGTGTTGTACAAGGTAGGGCTTCTTTTAAAAAACAATCTCCTGTAGAACAAGCAAAAAGATTTTAGATTAGATTAAATCTTAATTTCCAAGCAGGATGGAAAACTGCCTGTGGGCTCACCTGACAGAAAACAAAACAGCATAAATAACAAATATAAAAAAACAGGAGGGAAAAAAAGAAAGAACAGGATCTCTTTAAACAAAACAAGTTAAAAATGCAATGGGAATACATTAAAGATATTAGATTAGGAAAGTTGGTCACTTTATTAAAGTGACCGCTCCAAACGTATTCTCTAAAAGACAATCACTATTAAAAGAAAAGAAAAATAATTTCCTACTAACAGTATCCCAGTACTATGGAAAACCATTTCCACCATTTGGAAAACAAAACCCCAAAAATAATAAGATACCATCTCACTATTATGACTTAGTATCTCATAATGATTAGTACATTTACATGTATTCATTTATCAGATATTTTCATCAAAAGCAACCTACAAAACTTAGTATCTTATAAAAATGAGATACTTTTTGACGACATACTTTCTCATTAGTATGAGAAATAATGAGATACCAAGTCATCTTAATGACATTGTTATTATTATGAGATCACTCATTATTCTTCATAATAATGAGATACCAACTCATAATAGTGAGATAACAACTCACAATTACTCATAATAATAAATAAATAAATGCACTTCAGTTCCTCACTCAAAGGGCATAATTCACAGTGTGAGTTTTGGCAACACACACAGGCTGCCACTGGAGGTGCTCTTTAAATATGTGTATATTTTTTTTTACCCAAGTGGCAGAAATGGGCTTCCATACAGTTCTTTCCCTGCAAACAACGCTGCTGTGTTTTTAAAGAAATAACAGCTAAAGAAGGAGCAAAGAAAGCCAAATACAGAGAGCACCCTGACCACACTAGTGTCCAATGACTCAAGCTCACACAAGGCCACAAGTTAACCTTACAGAAAGTCAGCAACAACCCAACACAGCCAAAACAACTAGCTCCAGGACGTGCCTGATATTGACCCTGCCTGAGTCAGCCAACAGCTTAAAATAGGAGGAAAAATCCTTGGACAAACCTAAAGCCTGTACTTCACATCCAAACTGGACGAGCTTGAAAGGCTCCCCGAGCATGAATGAAAAATAAATAAATAAAAATATCTTCAAGAAAACAAGAGGTGCAAAATAACATGACCAGCGTGATTAAAACTAAATTAAGCCAAGGTGCCAAAAATGAATAAACAGAACTAATGGGTATGCAAATTAGACAATTTTGTTAAGCAGAAACATTTGTCTTTTCATATATCCTTTTTGTTTGGAGGAAATTAAACTTTCTACAGTGGGGATGTAGTCAGCTGGTAATTTATTTTGGTTTTTAATTCAAGGCAAGAAGAAGTTTAATATTTTAATGAGAATATAAAAAAAATATGTAAAAATTGCTCATTTCAAAATGATTGTAAAACGTAATTTTTCTCCTTACACTGCAGGCATGTTGGCCACAGCTTTGAGGCCGGCGGGGTTACGGATCATCTTGTCCAGAGTGCTGACGATGTCGGTGAAGCGTGGTCGTACGTTGCGGTCTTTCTGCCAGCAGTCAAGCATGAGCTGGTGCAGGGCACTGGGGCAATCCATTGGTGGGGGCAGACGGTAGTCCTGCTCTATGGCATTGATCACCTGACGCAGAAGGAAATGAAAAGTGTTGTGCATTTGAGAAACAAAGAATAATATAAGTCCAAAGCAAAGCCATAACTAAAGTATGACTTGAATGACACAGCATTCCCGACAATATGGACACAGTCACTCCCGTCAGTCTGTATTCACCCTAACCTGTCCTTCCTCTCATCTCCAGCCAATAACATGTCACCCGTGAAGGACAGGGCAGCAAAGGTTGTGTCACTGCAGATTAAATCACTGCCTAAGAACAGGCTGTTGGATAAAATGGATAAAATTACAGCTGTTTTTTTTTCTGGCCTCCATGCAAAAGGCTTTACCAAGTATGTGTATTTTTTAATCATTTATTTTTTTTATTTGTGTTAATTTTTATTTTCCAGATTTTTTCTAGAGGTTTTAATGCAACTAAAATAACTCATCTTTTTTTTAATTTAATTTTAAATTTTTCACATTTCTGCTGCATTCCTCCTTACCACCGATCCCTAACCTTACCTATCCCTCATAATCAAATATAATTACACATACGTCTGATGTGATTTCAAGCATGAAATATACAATCATTAAAAATTAGAGCCGGCTCCAACTTTACTTCATAGTTCAGTGCACCTCATCAGAACGATGAAAAACTGTCTTTGAATGTGTACGTGTTTGTTTGTGTGTATGTATGCCGAGCAGCAGGACATGCCGAGTGGAGCTGCTCCACTTCTCAGCATCAGTCCCAACAGGCAGCGTTCGCTGCTGGCCCACTGAGGCAACATCTGCTGGGTTTGGACTTGTGGAGTGCGGTCCAGAGCGATCTGATGGTTGGCTACTTGTCTCTGAAAGCGCTCTGGGAGACAGACCTCACCCCATGGGATGTTATCCAATGGGTTTGGGTTCCAGTGACCGTGTGTTTGTGTTGGTGACTGTGTGTTTGTGAGCGTGCCGCCGGGGACTTTTTCCAAACGGACATGGAAAACAAAAGCAATCACAGCAATCACTGGCTGCTCTGAAATGCTGGCCAGCGAATAAAAGGTTTGGAGTGAGTCTGCTTTCAAAGTCAGATTCAAGGACATCTTCAGCGATGATGATGCTGATAATTACTGTGTGATTTATTGCAGCTTCCGCTGCTGTGGGGTTCAGCATTTAGAAGAATGTTGCATCTTGTGATGTGGTGAAGATGAAGCTTCATGATCAAGCTTCTGAAACACATTTCTAACCTGCACACACATTTTCTCAACAACATTTAATATATCAGTAAATCAAGTGGTCGTCCTGTATATAACACAAATTAATCAGATTTTAGAAAACAAACAAAGTTAAAGTAAATTGTCTCTCTCTTTCACACAAGCCTCTTAATGTCCACAATTTAAGTTAAAAGTCACTTCTATTCAGTAAGAAAATGCTTCAAGGATTTTTTTTTAAAACCACTCACATCTTGGTTGGACATATCCCAGTATGGCCGCTCTCCAAACGACATCACCTCCCACATGACAATGCCATAGCTCCACACGTCACTGGCCGAGGTGAACTTCCTGTAAGCGATGGCCTCTGGTGCTGTCCATCTCACTGGGATTTTCCCACCCTGTAGAAAACATAGACCGGTGGTATATTATAACACATGTATACTATAAGTTTATCGTCAGAGATGCATTATCTCCACTACACAACAACAACTGCCCAGGGTTTTGAATCCTCCACCAACTCAAACATACACAGGGTTCTTTGCTCCAAACAGCATTCGCCCTTCACACGTCCACCACTATTACATTTGGTGTCTCCTCCTCCCAAAGCCCTGTTTGAATAAGAGAAGATAGGCCTGGGCTTCTGCTAGTTCTTGGAGTGTGTCTGCTTGTAATTGGGATACCTGGGCCTCAGGCATGCCAGCCGTGCTGATGATTGAAATTGACAGCTGCTTGTTTAAAATTCCACACACACATACACTCGCACTCACATACAGACACGCTTGGGAACATATGCGCAGGCACCGTATACCTGAAAGTGCAGGCGCAGCTGTGCACACCAGCAGACACCTATAAATACCTGTTTGCCAGCCTGTTGTACATTAGAACAACAGTTTAATAACAATAACGAGCGTCTGCAGATCAGCTACCATTTTAGAGTCAGAAACAGAACGAGGAGTGAGGAGGGAGAGTGCAACACCAAAAAAAAAAAAAAAACCCAGAATAAATACAGCTACACTTGTGTGCTTCCTGTGTGTGGGTGCGTGCATGTGCAGTTTGTAGTTTTCACAGGTCAATGCCGAGTGGCAGTGCAGAGGTGGAAGAGGCTGAGCTCATTAATGAGCAGCCCTTCGGGGTTTGACCTTTCTGAGGCTTCTGACCCCAGCCAGAGATTTAACATCTGACCCTAAATGGAGAGAGCTGTCTGGACACTGAGACGCAGAGGCACAACATTCATCTCTTATTGAGCACAGAAGCTTGTGCTGTAGGAAAGGGTGAAACACCAAAGGATGTGAGCCAGCTCCACTTTAAGTGCTCCGCTCGGAGTGTGGAGTGGCCTCAGTACAGGAAATAACAGACATATTGTATATACTATTTTGTGAGACAACATAAAAAAGAGCAAATATCATCTTTTCAAATGACAAACACATTTACAGTTTAAACGAAGCCATAGTTGCAGCACAATGAGTCTCAGCATGACTTTCCTGAAAGGTGACTTGACTTTTTTGAGCCTTGGCACATGTTTTATTAAATGCCCACAGCGCACCACTAAACCAAAATGTCACATAAAATGTGTTTTATAAAATATGATGATCTTCTTGATCCAATGTGCTCACAATTGAGATGCTCAGTGAGAAACTTGGGTCTGTTCAGTTGAACACAACACTAATATACTCAAAGGAACTGAAGAAAGAGAGTGGAGTATTTAATAGTTCCTTCTGTCACTGTTGCAGAAACAAAGAAGACCACTTATTTGCAGTAAAAACTGTTTTAAGTCACTGGTACAGAGAGTGGGATATACAGGTATGTACATATGATGTATGCAGGAGCAATGAAAGAAATTTTCAAATTATATAATATGAATTATATTTATAACATATGATATAATATAATTCTAATATAATAACTCAAACACATTCAACATTACCACACAGAATGTTGTAGTGATAATAATAGGTTACTTTTAAATGACTCGTGAGAGCCATTATTGAGTATTTTCTGCTATATTTAAATGTTAACATTTAAACAGTTAGACAGATCAGACGGCTGCAGAAAGACAAAAAGACAATTATCAGTGAAATAAGTTCATCACTATGTTTTTTGCACAGAGCTATTTTGGGCTTTTGTTGTCCCAGTGCTGACTAATAAATAGATTAGGCTGCTATCTACTGTAATTCTTGAGGACAAAGTCATGTTTTACTTGTCATTGTGTACAACATGAATTTTTGTTTTTGCAGATTTCTGTTCTGGCCTGATAAGCGACTCCACAATGGTGCCCTGCAGACTGACTGTACTGAAAAGAATACAGCCGAGGGACAAAAAAAAAAAAAAAAGGAAAATGAACCGAAGAGAAATATGGAGAGCAAAAGATCAATAGTCGAATAAAGTCTATCTTTCGCCTGAGTGGCTCCAATGCTCCGCTCATACAGTATGTCAGACTGGTTCATATCTGAATCATCTATACAAAAAAAAACCCAGGACACTGACTCTCATTGTCAGGCTTCTTCTCCGAGCTAAATGTCTCTTCTTGTAAAGTAAATCAACTTCCTCGTTATCTGTCACTGTGTGACGGGCAAGTTTCAAGTCAGTTATTATGCTTAGATGAACATGTGCAGGATTAAAAGCAGGGGCGAAAAAAATCCAGAAGAGTCCTGCTCCCAGGGAAATGATGTTCCAGCATTTCTTTATCATAACTTACTCACTGCCTTCTGTACACACAGTATCTGGTCTCGTGCCCCAGGACTCTGTAGGGATATAAGATGAAACTTTGAAATGGCCTTAGCAAAGATACAGGCCTTATATAAAAACAGCCCTACGTTCCTTGAATATCTCCAATGACTGTGTCTCAGAGGCAGCCATGCAATACATTAGTAATTGCTGCTGCTGTGAGTCACTTATTCCCCTAGAAAAAAACAAAAACCTGCTTTATTGATATACAGGGGAGAACAGTTCATGTACACTGTACATTAAAGGAGGCTGATGCATAATAGAAAGCATTAGTCCTAACTTTGATCCTATCTTTTATTTTTTTTTTAAAGATCCTTAATGCTAGGAATATGAAATACACTGGTGATAACTAGGGCTGTTATTAAATAAATTACCACATTAGTTGTGATAATTTGAATTAAAAATTTGTAACATATTTAAACATATGGGCAGAATGACACATACTGTTGTTGTACTACACAGCAGTAATATCATTCCGATACCCAGCATGTTTATGCAGAAGCCTCAACGTCCGGATGCTGACGATAATTCTAATAATTCTATTACAGGAAAAACTTTACTGTAAATTTAACTATGACATAATGTTTATTATGTCAGGAGGATGAACAAAAGGTTCTCCAGCCTTTCTTTATCAGTACATACAGTAGACGCCCCCCTCCCCACAAGCACGGCCAATGCAGCTGCAGAATGTCTTCGCCCGGACAAGAAGTAATCATTTACTGCATTGTGTGGTACTCCCTTGTTAATATATTCAGTGGGTGACTATGACTCTCCTCCAGAAATACTCACTCCAGGCCTATTTTCTGGTTCAATAAATGTTGTCCACAGTGTACGAACCACTCATAACAGCATTAAAGCCAAAATTAATTGAAGTAAATGCGTCTGACATTTACATATTGTGTTTAAGTAGTTTGGAAACTGTCAGATGAAAAACAAACTCAGAAAACAGTCACAACTTTGCTGGTGCAATGGAAAATTTTCCCCTGGCCTGCAGAAATTTTACACACACACACACACACACACAGATCTCTGACACTTGCGTGACCCGCACCTTGGGCTCGGAACTCCATTCAAGATTGACTGCTAACATCTGGATTTAACTGGGGAAACTGGAAGGAGCTGGGGCGATAAATCCATTGGATTGTAATGTTTTGGAATAGGTTATCAGACATAAATTAAAGACGTCAATAGAATCTTATTTATCATACAATGTTGTCAGGCGATACGCCATCACCTGACCATAAAACATACGACTGATGATAACAGTAAAGTTGCAATAGCTCATCAACTGGTTTTACTTGGTTTTATTGGCTGGTGACATCATGTGACTAATCACCAGCATGTCCAAATAGACTACACTGGTATGCTATGCTATGATTTGGGGTAAGCACACTGGTTATGTTCAGCTGTCGGTTCCAACAGTGACACACGCACACAGGAAGGACATGAAACACCTGTCACATCTACCATAAGGCCACAGACCTTCATGCCGTCTGTCACTGACACGCTGCTGCAGAAGGAAGAAGAAAAACTTCTGTCAGACTACGACTAGTCGCTGCCATCGTGCGGCGCTGTCCTAGATACAGTCTTCTGCTATTTAGTCATTCCAAACAAACTTCTCCTCTAATCTGAAAGTCAAACATGTAACAGCCCCGGTATTCTTCTCATCTCCTTTCTTTTGTTCCTCCAACGATATTCCATTTCTTAAACAAAGTACACAGCGACCGCCCACACAGCATTTACTAAGGATGAGGGAGAGTGCTCCATCAACATCCATTTAATGAAATACTGAGAGCAATGATCGCCGTTGGATGTCTGCCCAACAACAACCAGAAGTACAATCAAGTAGATGTTAAGTGAGGCAGCGAGAGACAGGGGAAGGCAGAAAGATGAGGGAGATGGAGGAAAGGAGGAAGGGAGGGCAGGGGGGAAGGAGGGGGCGGCATTATTAAAGAAGAAAGAAAGGTTTCTGGTGAAAAGATCCTTCATTCTTCAGACCCCCCTGGGAATGTCTGGAACAGAACAAGGTTTTTCGTCATATTTTAAATGAAGCCAAGCTAAACATGACATATGGGTTTTTTCCTCTCTCCTTGTTAACAGTCTCAAACAGTACCGAGAACCATTCATTTTCAGATTTAAATCAATGCAAACTATTTACCAAAAAATGCAGTTTGCCATTTATAATGCTTTAGAAAAGATTTAGAGAAGTAAAAAGTGAGAGGGATAATGGAGTGGTTCACACCGTCTCTGTTGTTACGAGTGGTCACGTCTATGTTCCATGTCTCAGCAGGAGTTTCCGTTTAGCCAGACTGAAGTAGCGGGCACAGCAAGCCTCCGTGCCTCATCACTGCATTAGCGACGTACATTGAAATCTCACAGTAATTGTGTTTGTTCTATATCTGAGAAGTACTGCACTCAGTGCATTTAAACATGGGCTTACACTGTAATCACAGTTCTTTAGTTTGAATTAACACAAAGACGTCACATGACTTAAAAATAACAGAAAATAGGCTGTTGTTTTTTGGACACAGTGTAAATTACCTTGAACAAGATCACGTGTTATAACGGTCACTTTCCTGAGCTTGATGAGATTTTTGTTTTTTTTTGTCCAAAAACATTTAGAGAACTGACACAGAGCAGCACAGACACTAAAAGATAATTACACCAAAAAATGTTACATTTCACTAAAACAACTGCTTCATACCATCACTGAAGCTGAGGGAAAGATTTTAAATGATCCAGTAATCACTGCAGCCCTCGTGATACAAAGACATTAAGAGAAACAAGTTGTGGTGAGACCACAGTTCCCACAAAACGTCATTACAAGGGCCGCAGAGGATTTATCTTTATTTTCTTATGGGGTAAGGGAACTGAATGTCACGCTGTAAATTGGAAAAAAAATCAAAAATCAAAAGTGAGCTATTTTCTCTGACCACTGGCTGCCTTCATATGGACAGTGTCCCATTCCATTTCTTGTTTACCCAGGGACTTTGTCCACTTAACTTGCAGTGCAGTGCATAAATATTTTACCATCAGCTGAATAGACAAGCCAGAATGTGTATGGCCCGAAGCCACAAAAACAAAAAGTGAGAAATGACAGAAACGAGATCGGGTCGCGTGTAGTGTGAGAACTGGAGAGGAGCTGAGAGGAATGTCACTCAGGTCACGGAGATTTGATGGATGAGCTACGGATGAGCTTCTTACTGAGTCTGGATGACTTCACCTTTCAACCTCTATGAGCCTCAGTGACACAAACAAATGAACAAACACACAAACAAACACACACACACCAGTTAAACCCAGTGGAGTGACATTATATATACACTGTAGACCCAGGGTGTACAAACACACACATACGTCTGAGCGTATCCATACATGACCACTCATACTGTGTGACAGGTGAAGTGATGTCAGTGTTTCCACATGGTCAGCTGTGGCACCAGTGGATATTCTGACCCCCAGCTGCCCTCGACTAAACCCCTGAGGGCATTTGAGAAAGCATGTCAGTCACGACTACCTTCACTTTAACGGCACGATTTTAGAAACGCATGCATCCACACATACGCACACTCCTTAACACGCCACTATTTCAGCCGCATTTACAAATCCACCAACACGAGGGCAGCGAATGAAATGTCTGACTCTATACAGACGATGTAATTCATCATCTGTCACATCTACATACAAGGTAGTGTCTACTCGGCTTGGAGAAAAGCCTCAAAACTGAAAGGAATGGACAGCTGGATAAAAAGGGATGATGGATGAATCGATGCACAGACGGATGACTCCTGATAAAGAAGGGCGGGAAAAAAAAGAGTGACATTTACGCTGACAAAGATCAAAAATCACTCCTCTCTTTTGTCACATTACCAAGATGGCTCACATGTCACCTCTCTGTCATTGATTACCTCTAAACTACTCCTAGGACTAGGCAACCATGCATATGTAATGAGACTGCGATTGAAATCCAACCATAAAGACAGATCTATAAGGAAACACTAAGTCTTTAAATTAATTAGTGCATATCACCTATGAAGACCTGTACAGTCCAGACGTTGTCCTCTGATCCTAATTAATCATGACCGTGGTGAGCAGCCAGCAGTGAGGGAGGACAGCACCCCTCTGTTTGGAACCTCCACAACACTGCACCGGACTGAACCCACACCCAGGGTTAATGCAATTACCAGCACGTCTTTGCCGCCATACGTCCAGAATCACACCACAGGCGCTGTAATTGGTGTGTCCAGAATTGCAGGAAAAATTATAAAAAGTAAAGTTGGAGAGGTGATTAATCCTCCCGCGGAGGAGGAGGAGGTCGACTGTGATTTAAGTCACTGCGTGTTGGCGGGGTTTCATTTTTCCTCATTCCCTCAGACTTGTCTGTCTGTCAGCTCGGCTGATGATTCGTGTCAATAGAGGAGAGAATTAAGGGCACGAGGATGAACACACAACACTGTCTAAAAATAAAATGCACATTAAACCCAGGTGATTAAATATATTATATATTTATATATACAGTATATTTTTTTATATTTATTATATATTTATCAGTTTCCCAGCCGGAGACATTCTCACCTCAGCTCACGGGGCCGTTCTAAATTCTACCTTGTTTCATATGTAAGTGCTTGATTGCCTTTTACCTATGCACGTTAACACTGCAGGACGTCTATGACAGCCCTCCTGATTAGAGGAGTCATAAATAATAGAATGGAAGTGCAGAACAGGAAGTTGAAGCATAAAAATGTCAATAATTTTCACCTCGTCTGCTCTGACAATAAATAGAGAGAATGAAAATTAGAAGAATATATACAACTCATTTATATTCCTTCAATTAGAAGTACTTAAGTAAATACTGGTAAAATAGTTTTAACCTTTGAGGGAGAGAAAGGGCCTGAGGAACAAATGACTGTTGAGATCTACTGGTGATTGAATGGACACATGAATGTCAAATTAGTGTCTGATTAATCTTATCTTTTGGATTTTGACAGGAAGCTGAAATACACTTTGACATTCAACAAACTACACACGGCTAAAACTACAAGGTTACAGTATATACTGGGATGTCATTGTCAGGCAAATACCAGTACTCCGTTGATGTGTACTAATACTCTTCTAATATTATGCATTTTTTCCCCTTTTTTCAACTTTAATTGAGGGACTTACTCGGTCTTGTCTTACAATCCACATCTGAAAACACTTTAAATACACATGTGGCAAAACACATCAGCAGTAAAACATGTTAATTTGCATAAATGACTCAAAGTAGAGTCAATGAGGTGATGCCAGACACAGGCACACGTCCGCATCTCACCCACCCACACAGAGAAACACAAATATGCCTCTGCACATATCTGTCTCCCTCTCTCTCTCTCTCACACACACACACACACACACACACACAGATCTCCTAATGACCTGAGCTGTGTGTTTGTGAGGATGCATGAGTGTGTTTTGAATAGGGGGGGAGAAGAGGCAGAAGATGAACTAACGACGGCTGCTAATAATTACAGATCTGTAGTGCGGAGGAGTTAATGAGGAGCCAAAGCCTCCCATGATGCCCCAGTAATAATGAATGAGTGAGAAAAGGGAGGGGGGAGGAGGAGGAGGGCTGTCAGTTTGAGGAGCCGCGATGCCCTTTGGTTCCTCTGTACTATGGGCATGTCAACGAGAGAGGAACCTTCCCAGCGGAGACTTATCTGTGCACTAATGAAGATGTGACAGACCTCCGGGCCGTGACTCACAGAGTATGGAGGAAGAGGAGCGAGGAGAAGGGGAGAGGGGAGGAGACACAGACAGCTCATAAAATATGAAGAAGCACAGAAAAGGTGAAAGGTTTGGATGACCACGGGGGGGGGGGAAATCGAAAAAAATAGAAAAGATGACTCTAAGTGTTTCTAGAAAGTTATTATTGTAGTACATGTAAAAAAAGAAATGTTAGTACAATAGTACTGTGTAGTACAAAAAAGAATATACGCACCAGAGAACTGGTGTAGCTGGGGTCAGAGGTGTCATCCTGAAGATACCGTGACAGGCCGAAGTCGGACACTTTACACACCAGGTTGCTGTTGACTAGGATGTTCCTCGCAGCCAGGTCACGATGAACGTAGTTTATCTCGGAGAGATACTTCATCCCCGCCGCGATCCCACGCATCATTCCGACCAGCTGGATTACTGTGAACTGTCCGTCATTTTGCTACAAGTCGGAACGAGAAACAAATTAGCTAATTTTGTTTTTTGTTCAACTGTTGCTAATGCATTGTTGCCGTCTGATGTTGGTCAAGCTAATTATGGGCACTACAGAAGAAGCTTAAATTAAAAGAAGAAAATTAAAGAAGAACATTTTTGTCTGAACATTTTTATACAAGATTTACATAAAGTTCAAAATGTCAATAAAACTGACTTTAAAATTATGCAAAGGCAGGCACTCCTGTCTGGTTTTTAGGGAAAAAAATATAAATTAGAAGCATTAGAAGCTAAAAATGAAATAAAATATGGACATTGGATGTGTGTAGTTTCTTTGAAAAAAACTTAAATTACTGTGTAAAATATTGCATGATAAAATGTGATTCCTGCCCTCTAGTGCTTGGTAAACACTTACCTAAACCGACAGTCAAGTGTCAACATCACTACATTCTTCTAGTCATCATTTTAATTTACAGACAACTCTCTCTAAATTCTGCACAAAGTGATGAGACTCTCTGTCCAGTCTTTTTTAGAGTTCGTTTCAATTTTGTCTGTTAAATAGACGTTTACAAAAAATATCGTACATGTTTTAGTTTGAAACATCACTTTGTGGAAATGCTGCGTGTAACTACCACAGGTTACTGTGACATGTAGATCTGTGGGGTTTCTTTTCCACTAACACCCCACACCCCACACCTCCTCCTCCTCCTCCTTCACACTGCTGTGTTCAAGCTTTGAACCCCGGAAACACAGTAACAAATAAGAGTGTAAGGGAGATGGATGGAAACACAAGTCGGATGAGGCAGTTAGCACAGCCCGACTTCAAAGACCCCTCTAAACCCACCCTGGATCAAAGTGGAAAAGAACGGCAATCCGTCAGATTGGAAGTGAGAAAGTTCAATATTGATTGTTCCGTAGGTCTCCTCCATCCCTACTTGTAAGGAAGAGGTGGAGGGGGAGGAGGGGGAAGTGCATTTTAGTTCCAGCCTTTCACAGGGAAAACACACTGATCATCAAATGAGAGTAATTGTGTTGAAACATAAACTGGATTCTGACAGTTCAGATGACAGAGGTTGATTCCATTTAGAATTAGAAAGGATAACTTCAATGCACTTTTCTCACACTGTTTAATGATTCATTTCCAATTAGCTGTACTCATTCAGTACGGTCGTGCAGTACTTCTATTAAGCTCCAGAATACTTTCTCTACAGAGACAGTCTCTGTACTTTCACACTCACCCTGAGAAAGGAGTCCAGAGCGCCGTTTTCCATAAATTCAGTGACGATCATGACGGGACGGCTCTTTGTGACCACACCCTCCAGTCGGATGATGTTGGGATGGTCAAACTGACCCATGATGGACGCTTCAGACAGGAAGTCCCGCCTCTGTTTCTCCACGTAGCCCGCCTTCAGGGTCTTTATGGCTACGTAAATTTCCCTCTTACCAGGCAGTTTCAGGCGGCCCTTGTACACTTCTCCGAACTCACCTGGGGGGGAGAGAGGACGAGAGTGTCTCAGAGTGGCTGCTCAGTCAGGAGCAAGCGGTGGTCGATTTTTCATAATAAAACAGCGATCAGACAAATGCTTAGTGGAGTTGATTACTTCTAAATCTGTTCATTCATCAACCTCATTTGCATCCAATGTCCTTTGGCAAAATATTACTCTAAGTGCTATTATAGATCTTGATTTAGTCTATAACAAGCACGAGTGTTGTTCAATGTGTCTGTGATGTTGCCTCACACGACGCAATGTGTGTGTGTACCAGTGGAATAACAGACAACAACTAAAGTATTTCATACTGTTTGGAGAGAATACAGGTTTTGTATGAATTTTAGTGTTTACATTCAGCTTGGAGGAGCTTCTTAACAAAAGCTATGATTGGTTGACATGAAGAGGCTTTACAGCAGTCTTATATACGAAGGAAGGCGCTCCAGTAAGGTCCAGGAACCCATGGGTAAGACACTGACATTAACAGGTTTCAAAAGAAACAGAGACAAACAGAAGAGAAGGTCTGTGAGGCTTGACTTTTTTTAAATGCCATTCGTTCCCAAGGTGCCTGTCCTGATACTGCGAGTGCACTCGACAAGAGCTCTTCACATGTCTCCATCTGACAGGCTGCAAAAAGGATGCGACCTCATGACCTTCAACAAATTCCAGTTTGCACACCAGCATGTCACACCGATGGATGAAGTTACGATGATTCCTTTACATATCTGTCCCGCAGACGTAGAAAAACAAACATTCACCAACCTGCACCGATGACTTCCTCGATCTTGACCGTGGAGACGTCAATCTCCTTGGCGAATTCCCGTACAGCTTCGTTGGGGTCTTCGTAGGTAAAGGGGTCGATGTAGATCTTCATCCCTGGGGAGCCTGAGAAGTGGGTCGGGCAGCCGAGTGGGGAGGGGCAGTTAGACATGTCGGCTCGCAAAGAGAGTTCTAGAACAACCAAAGTGCTCAATGAACTTTACAGAAAAGACACATTCATTTCATTCTCTCTACTTTCCTTGCTAAAGTGCCCTTGAATTTGTGGTTTTTTGTTACAAGACATTTCTTTACAGGGACACTCCTGCTCCGAGAGACCATGCTGCTGAACAAAAAGGTTTGTTTTTTGCAGCTCCTGAGTGGGATTTGACACAGTGTGTCAGTGTTCTGCCATCAGATATCTGAAATAAAACGCTGCAGTGTTTATACTGTGCTCTTCTGGCCTTCGTTCCTCTTTACTCATCGATCTGTGTCTCTGATCCCCTGCTTGCTAAGTTTCTACATTCAACAGTGAGTCGGGGAAGAAAGGGGTCTACAGTGTCAGATGACATTATTAAAAATCATTACAGCTATTCAGAAACTCCATCTGGCGTTGTCGTAGAGGAACACTGGAATGTATAAATGATTGTTAACACATTTTTGTTCCTTTTTAAAAGCGCGGATAAGTTACAAGTCAAGGCAACAGAAAAGTATTGATGTTGGATGATTCATTACTTGCATGGAGTAACAACAGGAGATAGAGAGTGGAATAAGGGACCAGTGCTGAAATAGCACATGTATTTTTTCCCCTTCCCTTTTATCCCTTAGCGTAGCAGTCTTCATACTTTGATAGTAGTAGAACCAACTCCCCGCAGCTTTTTCCATAAGGGCTCATAGGGAGATGAAAAACTACTGCACTATCAACTAGCTGCTGATGCTGTGCTGCGATAGTTGAGCTCTGTTCACAAACCGGAGACATCGGCAAGCCGAGGACAAATTTCCTGTGTTGACAGAGCGGGAAGGGAGAACTGTTGGAAAACACTTGTAAACAAATTCAATACTCACTGCCACCAGACAGACATTACAGCAAATAAGCAGACGTAAAAATCATCATTTCTACGCCGACACCCAAGGGCAGCCCTCATTCTCAGAACTGTTTAGTCGCAACCTTGGCAGCCATGATTGGAATAAACCCATCTCCATCAAGTCAATTTGTGCCTGCTGCTTTGCATAAGCCACATGGAGGGAGGGAGGGAGGGAGAGACGCATGGAGGGAGGGAGGGCGGTGTCTCAGGGGAGAGGAACAGGATCAGGTCTGGTCTTAGAGGGATCAAGGTGCCTCACCTCGCTCTCTACTAAAAGCTGATTGCAGTCACGGCACTAATTGTCCTGAATCCTTTCTGTGTGAATGTAATTGCTCATTAGAGATTCAGAACAGATTGGATTCCAGTTAATCCATTGGTGGATTTTCCAGCTTTGCATTCCATAAAAATCATTGTGTTCACAAGTGTTGCCAGGCTGCTCACTCAGCAGCACAGCTGGACTACAACTGTAGACTTTCCTGTTGGGACTATAATGTGCAGCAAAAAAAAAAACAACCTCCTTCTTAATTTAGCATGTATTCATCAACCATATACCATGTGTTTCTGCCTACCTCTGTTGTAAACCTGGTTAACTAAAGATTAAAAACTGTCTCCTGCTTTAATATTATCATTTGTCTGTTTATACAGATCCAAATGAGGCAAAACGTCACTTCTACTTTTTCACCTGAGACAGAGCACAGCTGCCATGGCTTGAGGGTTGAAACATGTCCACGTCTCGGAACGCAACAGCTGCATTCAAAGACTTGATTGATTGGGAAAATACGGTTCATAAATGTCAACACAATCCCTAAGCGATGAGACATTACCTCGGCAAATTAAAATAATGTTTGGTTGACTGGCAAAATAAATGATATTTTACTCCAGCACATTTAATCGTGTTATTTTCACCACAGCCCACTATTACTTTGCTCTGCTTGTTTATTGAATGTCCCTAATGTATCCACAAATCAACTGCACAGCGCTAATGCTAACATTAATCCATTACCGTCTATGGGTGCAATCACATTACTGCTCACCGTGCACAGAACCTACACGCTGCCAAACGACAAGCGACAATGTTCGAAAATTAAAACACTAGCTTAAGGCAAGCTGGTTGTTAGTTCATCTTTACCATTAGCCTCACAATGTACTGAATCTAGTATCATTCCTACAGAGAATATTTTTTCTCCATAGAAGTGTTTTATGTAAATATATGATCTTCTTTATAGAAAAACAAACTGTAAATGCAAAGAGATAGTAATTGTTTTAGTTTTTAATTCGGTCTAAGATAGATAATGATGGGCTCAAATATAGCAGCTGAATTAGTTCACACCGTATGTAAATAAAGTAATTATCGATCTTATATCCATCTTTATGCCAGAAAATATGTTTGAAAAACATACCCAATATGTTCGTTTGGTTTCCTTTGAAAGTCTTGATGTTGACAAAAACGAACAGATTTGTCGAAGCCAATTTAAAACTAAATTGTTAAAAAGCTATTTGACTTCATTGGTGAATTCACCAGTATAACGTATTTATTTAGTTTAGTTTTCCTGTTTATCAATAATGGTACCTAGCTGCCACAGTCTGGTTGTAACCTCTGTGCAATGACAATAATGTTCTTCTTCTCTCTCTCCTTTAAATTTTCCCTCTATGTTGTTTGTCAATGTATGTGGAACAACAAACATTATTAGAAGTGACAAACACGGTCCAAACTACACTCGTTGGAAGAGCAGCGCTGGGGCGTGTAAAAACACACAGTGCTTTGAAAATATAACGCTTTAATTAGCCACTGCTGGCAGACCGATGGCGTGTGTAAGAGTAAGACGGCAGTAGATGTACAGAAAAAAACTGTAAATGTTCAGACGCAGCTGGTTGAGAGTGATGTAAAGGGAGAACAAACCAGCGATTAACACTAACGAACCTGGGCTTCTTCTCTGAGGATTCATCTGTTTATGACAACGTCTGCTCAGATAAGAGGCTCGTTATCACCATTCATCACTGTGTGCAGTGGTAAATGTTACTTCTCGCTTTCGTGAAACTGCAGCGGCTCAACTGTCAGTGACAGCAGCAGAATCCTGCATAACGCCTGTCACATGAGGTGGGCCGCGGAGAGGAGAGGAGGTCACATACACATACCCCCCGGATATGTGTGCGTCAACAGCTGGAATGATAAGCAGCTAGAAAAATGCAGGAAGCATTTTAGAATTTTTTTTTTTTTTTGGAGAAAATTTGTCCCAAACAATTGGCCGAGTGCTGCCAATTTATTGTTGCACTAAGTAGAGTAATTACCAAACTGTCAGTCAAATTATAAATGACGTGATGAAAATACAGCGTCACATTTTCGTGGGTTGACTTCATGTTTGTGCGATTTGAAAATTAAAGTAATAAATCCAGAAACGGAATCCCTAATGGCCAATGGACGTTCAACAATCGCAGCAGCGGATGACTCCGCTGTTGTGTTTACTCTACTTTTGATAATTTTGCTTTTTTTTTTTTTTTTCACTTACAAAACTGACAACTGTCCATTTTGGAGCCCTTTGCTGTTGCCACTAAAGCTGTGATGTGAAGTAACTGTCGAAATGCCTTGCTGTGTTGGGCTCAGCAAAACTCAATCCCATGAAATGAGCACCTTTACACACGGCTACGGTTGACAGAGCAGCCATTTCTTTTCAGGTTCAAACTGTAGACACAACATTGCAGGCGTCTGTGTGAGTGTGTATTTCAGGGGTCCCCCACTCCCCGTCACCCCCAACCATCCCATCATACTGCAGCAGGAGAGAGCTTAAAGCGAGACTTAGTCACGGCTATGGTTAAAGCCCAGAGATACAGTTTGTCTGTCAGTCAGTGTCAAGGTGTGAAGAGATGAAAACGTCATTTCTGTCTTTGGACAACAGTAACCTGAGCAAAACTCTCTTTTACTTCACCTCCATTTGAAGTCATTCTCTACCATTTGACAGCTGTTATATACCAGACAAAGGAGAACATTCAACTGTTAGAAAATATACATAAAAAATGCATGGGCTTCAATTAAAACGAATTTTCTTTTTAAAGGTCAGCAAATTCTTTTTAATTTCTTATTTTTCATGATCATGACTAAATTTGTTTTGATCTGAATTAATTCAAAAATGCCTGTTTGACCATCCTAGTCATCATGTCTATTGAAGCATGAATGGAACTTTAATAACTATTTAGAAAAGGTCTAATGACCTACTGCGAGTGGTTATGAAATATTGAAAATTTCAGGTACAGCTTTGACTCATGCCGTCTAGTTATAAAAATGAAAGAGTTGATTTTTATTTTCACTAAAGAATTTTTACGACCTACTGTTTAAAATGCTGGGTTTCTGACTTAAAAAAACAGCCTTGATGGTCCATAAAGCAGGGGGAATGAATAAATTAGTCTAAAACAGTTCATCTGATTTATTTAAAGAAAATAAAAAGCTGAACTAATCCGTACCAGCTAAAACATGTGCAATTAGTACTACTCTAACAGTTAAGAGTAGATAAAATCGAAAAGATCCGAATATTTAGGATGTGGCAAACATGCGTAAATAGAAAGCGCAGCATAGTTTCTAATTATTACAACTGCTGTGTTAAGAAGTGATGCAATAATCTTATAATTGTTCTAAGAAGAGATGATGAAACAACCTTGTATTGCAGTTCTGACCTCAGGGTTCTGTACATTTTTGGTACAAAAAGTGTAAGAATAAATTCTAATAATAAGAATAATATTAATAAGAATAAAAAGAATACTTTTTTTGTTATTTTTCAACAGATTGGGACATTTTTTAACACAAATTAAAAATATATTTTATAAACCATGATAAACATGTTGGAGGAGTCCCCAGTCAAACCTACAGTACAGGACGCTGTTTCAAGTGAGTTATCATGTTTGATGTATTAGCAGAGAAGAAGTCGAATTCAACTGTTGTATAACTGCTAACTAACATTAGCACCAGAAAAGGGGACGGAATACTTTGAAATAATTAATGTATGGTTACAGCCATTATGTCAACTGATGTAATTAAGTCTCCCAGGTAGAGAAAGGAAAACAAAACGGTTGTCAAGTTACTCATTAAAAAAATGACACAGATATGTTGGAAATATGGGACAGGAAACTGGGTTGTGGGGACTGTGAATGTCCAGGTGGACTCACCTCTTCCTGTGCTGTAGTGCTGCAGCTTGTCACTGTACACAGCCTCCTTGGTGTACGCCCTTTTCCTGAGGGATGAGTAAACATTGAGAGACAGGATGAGAAACTAGGTCTTCTGAAAACGAGGTGGCTGAAACAGCAGCGGTTGCGGAGGGTTAGCGACGGTAAATTAAGTTTATGAAAATGAGATGATATTTAATTAGACTTTGATTTGGATCTCTCTGCTCTTCATCTGTCTCCTCTGCCCGTGCATCAAAAGAACGCAGTTCATTTGATGAACGCTTTTACTTGTTCAAATGTGCATGTGGGCTAAAAGAAAATCTGACTTTCATACATCTGAAGAGGAGCAAGACGGTGACGGTAACAACATGATAAATTGCAGCGACTTTGAATAAATTACCAGGGCCGTGTAGTAATTCAGAGGTTCTGTCCTTGATCCATTTCAAATTAGGTTTTAGTTTAAACAGGCTGTTTTACCGGCTACAAATACATGGAAGAACACAACTGGTGCAAGTTTACTGGATACATGTAAGGCCAAATATATGAATGACTGCCCTTGGTTATTTTTGTTGGTATTTTACCATTTGGATAATCTGTGAAACAGGTCACATTTAAGAGAGAACAGTGTTTACCTGCTGCAGACGATGGAGATGGCAACGAGGGAAACGATGAAGACCACTCCAGCTGCAGCTGACCCTGCGATTAGAGGAAGCTGTTCTCTCAGTTCAGACTTGAAATCATCTGTGAAACAAAAAAAGCTGGTCAAAAGTTGTTCATTAATTCAAAAATAAATTTGATCAATTACATAAAAACTCAAAGACCTAATGTGACAGGCAAAAACAATATTTCTTGACATAGTAAATACACGAACGTATACAAAACATGAAATCCCCTGAAAAGATTTGGCATTGAAGGAGTCATATCTGTGCATTAAAGCCGTTGGCTAAAACCGTTAATCAATATGTATGAACATGAAGCCCTTGGGCAAAATTGGAATAGAAAATGTCAATCCACCTTGATGGACACAGTTGCACGTACTTCAGGAAATCATTATCGTCAGCAGAGCCTGGAAACCTTCGAAAACACTAACACTGGTTATTTGTCATGCAAAGAAAATGCTAATTTGAGAAGAACTGAGAGGTTTAAAACACAGTCTTTGGTCATTGAAGCAGATACATTATAAATTCATCAGAAATGTTCTTAAATTGTTATTGTCTGGAGAGAAAAACGCCAGGGCTAGATATAAGATCTTATATTTAAGTAAATAATATTTTTGCTTTACTGGATTTTTATTTTTAGGTGAAGGTCAGCTGTATTTTAGGAACTTGGATTTTAAACGACGAATTAAGGCCACAATAATTATATGATTATTGTTGGCCAGCATGCAGTCCAGAATTTCTATTGATTAAAGTATACGATGCAGTAGCAGTAGGAAGAGTAGAGTTAGATCAGAGTACCGACTGTTTAGAAGCTTCAACTTTTTATGATGCAAGAATATGGCAAAAAACCAAAAAAACGCAAAGGTCAGTTACCTGCTTTCCAAAGAATTACAGTTTTTTTATTGCGTTTTGTTAGGATTGTCCAAAGTTCTCTGGAGTGTTTAGAGCTGTGGGCTCGGCAGATAAAGTGTTAGATGAGATGTGCTAATGGATAAGGAGAAACATAAACCCCTCCGCCGAGAGGTGTCGACTGGAATCCTGCCAGCTTCTGCAGGACTCTCTGACAGGTTGGGTTTGATAAACCAGGAGAATGACAGTGAGACAGAGAGAGTGTGAAAAGGATAGAGCTGCTGTTTAAAAAGAGTAATGTGTGTGTGTGTGTGTGTGTGTGTTTACAGGGTTGCATCAATCATATCTAACCCACCTGTCAGAGAAGAACAGACAAGAACATGCAGCCCAATATGTTGGTTTTTTTTTTTCTTTGGTGTTGACAATCAGTTGTCACAACTGCAATGCATGATGGGATTGGGAATCATATTGCTTGGGTAGTGACCATCAGTTGGACACCAGATTCTGCGGTGAATTGTGGGATACATTGAGTGACCTTTATAGTTAACTATTTCCACTCACTAAACAATCGGACATCGCTACAAAATGGCGCTCCCTATATAGTCTTCTATGTAGGGCGTAGACGGCGGTGGACAAAGCGTTAATATACAGTATCTTAATAACAAGGATAATAAGGATTGGAACACATGGGAAAAAAGGAGATTGACTGGCATTGACTGGCCTTGAGTCTTTCCTGGAAATGATTTTGGTCATTTTTCACCATGCGAATGTGACTATACAAAACACCAAACCATGTGGAAAAAACGTATGTTTCTTGTAGCCTGAGCTAATGACTTTGGGTCTGAGTCTAAAGATTTGTGTTGTTCAATCACTCTCCTGAGAAACCGACGGCCTCTCTTCCCTCCAACCCTAGACCTGTCAATCAAGTCGACTTGTGTGTTTGTGCGTTCCGGAAGGTGAAAAGACACCCTGTTGAGGTGTATGAAGACATGCTGACAGGAGGACAACAGGGATGATATGTTTAGTGGTGTAGAGGTTGCACGGGTAGGAAGTGTCTTCCTGTCACAGACAAAAGGAAAAAAACGCTTGAAAAAGTGAGAGGAGGCGGAACTGTGGGTGTGATCTTCAACAGCTCTTTAGCATCTGATGCTAATTGCCATGAAGAATGTTGTGCCGTGGCAGTTGGCCAAGGGATGAAACATAAACAGTGTTTGTGCGAATCGGTGTGAGCGTCTGCTTGAAGGGGCACACGTTTGATGGAACAATAATCAACCAATCAGCACAGCCGTTGACATGACTGCAAGTAACGACAAAAAGCCAAAATAATGTACCAATAACGATAGATAATATTCATCCCATTTTCTTATAAAACATTAATATCTAATTAATCAATAAATGTGTCTTTGAAACATTGAGAACCAGCGTCCTGGAGCATTTTATAATAAGGCAGCTCTCTTATGAGTGTTGCACAGATTCAGTGGAATGTTTAATCCATCCAGACGGCATCGTCCTGTGAACCAACCATCCAGACTGAATCATATTAGCAATGATTTCACTTCCTGGCAAAACTATGAAGAAGTGCTTCATGAAGTAGTGAGATGCAAAACCACTTAAACCAAGTCTTTGCACAAAAAAACACCTCCTTGCACTTGCACTAATTAACATGGATCCATAGCTCTGCCAGGAGAGCAGGTGTTGGAGCCCCTCGTCAGCTCCTCTTCCTCTCCAACAGTCCAAACCCCACCCCATGGCAAAAAAAAAAATTAGCTCATCAACTACTAATCACAGCTATGCATTCTGGGACATCACTCCAACAACAGAAGGACCGAGTGAAAAACCAATTAGCTAAGCATTTTGGATCGTACGCAGATAGTTGCACAAACAAAAGACACTCGGCTACATGGTGAAAGCACCCACACACTTCCGATCACACCCAAACCTGGCTGTGAAGGAAATTAATTTAGCTGTAAAATTAGATCTGCAATCAAAGATTGCACTCCCCTTCTGTCCCCCCCACCCTCCCTAAACCAATAGTAAAGTGGCCACAAATACAATCGAAGTCACTCGGCTAATTCATTAGAGTTTGCGTGCATCAGTATGTGCATGTGGGAGAGAGGGAGAGAGGGAGAAGGGGGGGCGAGGGGGAGAGAGAGAGGGAGGCTGAGAAAGCTGTGTCTCCTGGCTCAGTGATCCTTACCATCTGTGAGGGTTTGGAAGCACATCTTGCTGCTGTATTTGCCAAAGCCAGCTACAGTCCTCGCCCGCACCTGCACCACGTAGACCGTACCCGACCTGAGACCCTCCACACGAGCAGTGTTGGTGTGGCTCCGCAGGATGGTGGAATTAATCTCTGCGTGGTCCTGAAGACAGCAGCAAACACAGAGCGCAGGTTAAAGTCATTCACTGAGAGGAAAAACATTATTTTTGCACAGTTTCACTAAAAACTGCAGGGAAAATATATTTACTATGTTCAGAAACACAGTGGGAAAAGTCCAACAAATCCACATATAGTTTTGTAAAGAACAGACAAATGGACACAAGTGACATTGCAGAAGAATTTAAAATTGCACATAAAACAGTACAGGCCTAATGAATTGGGAAGTACTTCAGTGTACTGTGTACAGTGTACTGGTATACTCCAGACATAGAGGAAATGTAGTTAAGCTCTGATATTGAGCAGATGGAAACAATAAATAAAAATAAAATAGATAAAGAACAGACAATAAGGCAACTTTATTTGTCATTGTATCAAATATGTAAACAACGAAATTCATCCTTTGAATTTCTACTCCTGAAACAGTAGCAGTGGGCTACACCACACTGAAGCGATCGGGGGCATCAGGCTCTGTTTGGGCTAGGGTTTGAACTGAAAAGCCCAACCTTTTACCGTACCGTTGCCTTTGTCGTGTATCTGTGATTTGTACAGTCCCAGGGCAATGTGAATGTATTACTCACAGTATCTGACACTGCCTTAAGGGTTGAAGGTCACACATGTTGGACAGTGAGTTCTACTAATGGCCATATAGTATTTGATTTTTTTTTATTATCACAATATAAGTTCTGGACATGCATTGACTGCAGCAGCGGTGAATCTATTTATTTTTATTATTTTTTACTTTTTTATATAAATATAAATACTGTATGTCTTCTATACATTTGGCAGCATGTTCTGCACTGGGCCTTCTTGGATGTATCTGCTATGAGGGGAATCAGTAATTACTTAGTCCTGTCACCCTTCCATAACCCAGAGTGAATATGACAGGGAGAAAACAAGGCCTACCTACACTACACCCACAGCTGCAGGCTGCTGATACCTTGCTGCCGACATGTTATAGAGAGTGAGGGGGCACTTGAAAGAAGTGATGAAAAATTAAAAAAAAAAAAAAAATCTCAGAGAAAGTGTGAATTGTGGATGGTTCTTTGTTAGCTTGGTACACATACTAGTCTTCAATGCAGAATCTTATAAAAAACAAATATGAAAAAAAAACAAACAAACCCAGCAGTGTCGAGTGAAAAGGTAGAGGAAAGGAGGTAGGAGAGAGGATGGAAGACGATGGCAGGAAGCGATAAGAAAGTGGAGGCAGGAGAACCGACATCGAAATCATTATCCAATCTGATTGGTGTAATTGAATCATTCCGGTTGCTCCATCATTGAGCGTACAAGGTAAACAAAGTTATGAAATCTGCCCCCAACATAATGATGTGAGCAATCACATTAGCTCTTATTGGACACTCTGGGCTTGATGAAGACAAATGTTTGGGCTTAGGAAGGGAGAAACATTGCACCAACACCGTCTCATTCTATCTCTGAGAGCGAAGAGAGACGCTTACAGATGAGACGCTGGATGTAATTGGTTTAGAAAGTTCAATCATTTTCCAGACCTTTTGTGCAGGAAATCACACAGAAATCTTTCTTTCTTCCCTCCACAGGCTGCATACAAATCACACAGAATTAGGAAAGTTCTTTCTCCAACAGTTTGTGTATTTGGTGCAAAAGCCGCAAAACCCTATGGGAAACCTGGTCACATATTCATATGTTATAAAACATATCTGAGTGCATTGAGAACACAAGGGTGTGTTTTATGTATTCCAGCTATAGGACACGTTTCTGAGGACCATGCCCCATCTGTTGAGGTGAATGGAAGACAGGTGAGCCAACAGACGGCAAACCGCCAAAGGGGGGTGAGGTGGGGTGTGGGGTAATTTCTCCAAAGCCAGGAATGGTCTTTTCATGCTGCCAGTCAAATGGGGATTATGTGACACAGTCCCATGCACACACGCACTCTTAACAGTGTCCAGGAGCACACACACACAAACATACACATGCCCGCCATTTAAAAATGAGCTGGCATTTGGCACTCCAGCAGGTTAGGGGAGAGCCAAAAAAAAAAAAAAAAAAAAGGCCACGCCAATAGGGACTTCCAGCCATGAGAGGTCCTCCCCTGCTGCCAGTCAAGTGGAGATTAGGAGAACTACACCCTAGGTTGCTAAATAAAGACAGTGTTGCAGGTGGAAAAGCAGATGGTGGAACAGCCAATCAAAAGCACGACCAGAGGTGACAGACAGGCAGAGCTGTTGGGAGTTGATAGTTTCTGTCACATCCCCTGAAGTCATTGGAACAAACTTGGCATGACAAAATCTATAATAACGACTGTGGCCCATTTGAAAATGATTTGCGACAGATGCTCATGCTTTTTTCAGTCTCTATACAGTAATGCAGTATATTTGACAAATAACCTTTGTTAGAACAAAGGGAATTAGACCTTAGAATCAGGCTAGTAGGAATAGTACTGTAAGATTAATAATAATAACAATTATTATTATTGTTGTTTTTGTTATTATTATTATTATATAATTATATATATATTATATAATTCCTTGTGGCAGTCCACAAGGAACATCCATGTATTCAAGGCCCAGTATTGTTCCTCCATTTTGACCAAATAAGCTGTTTTTATTTTTTAATTTTCCCTTCTGCATAACAGAGAGAGAGAGCGAGAGAGAGACAGAGAGAGAGAGAGAAAGAGAGAGAGAAATAAGATAATTTAATACAGAGCAATAAATAAATAAATAAATCCTGCCAAGCACCCAAAATGGACCGCATGGCCACCTGGCACAGGCAGACATGGTTGGACACCATGTGTCCTTTTCACAGGCTTGCATCGATTCAAATAACACACTCACCAACAAACGTGTCAAAGTAGAGGAGAGAAAAAAAAAAAGAAGTATTCCATTTTCAACACCCCACCCCACTCCGAAAAAAATACAATTAAACTTTTATGGATGTTCTAGTTTAAAAATGTATAATCCTGACCTCATATACTGTCATTTTGTTGTTGTCTCCTCAGAAAGGACATGCTCTGCCTACATCATCTGGAGTTTTATCCTCTATTCTCTGTGATTGCACAGGCATGCTGTACATCAACAGTCAAACCAGTGTTGTTTTATGATAAACATCCACTTGAGCGAAACAACAGAAAAGCAGATTCCTTGTTCCAAAGAAAACACACCTTAAGGAAGTGAAAAGAGGTGAGAAGCAGGAGAAAGTCAGCGAGTTCTTCTTCTGTGTCTTCAGTTTCCTTCATTCTTTGAAGCCCTGAACACACATGAACCCCCTGAAGGTGGTTTAAAGACAGATTTCATCTGATATTCAGAGGCAGTCTGGAATGCATCCGGACAGGGTGTTTCACTCTCATGAACTGCTCGTTATATGATAAGAAGTTTTTTACTCCCATGTCTACGTATTTGTGGTGGGATTTTCTTTCTTGACATATATTTTAAATCCAAGCTGTGTTCATTTTAACAATTCAGTGTCAACTGACAGACATAAACAGAAAAATGTTACACTGTCTCATGGAAATTCCTAATCCTATCTCCTTACACCAGTGGTTTCCAATGTGGGGGGCAGGTCCTGCCATAGGGGCAAATTTTCTTTATTTGCCCAAGAGTCACTGGGGGAAATTGCACAAATTTGTAATGTGGATTTAGGCTATTATATTAAATACTAAATATATTAAAAAAATCTAAAGGAGGGTTATCCCGTTACCACTTTTTACAAAACAACATAAGTGTGAGTACTTCTTGTGTACTCTCAATACAAAGTAACATCACCAATGCTTTTTTAGGTTGGTTTTCAGTTCATGTAGAATAAACATAAAGGTGGTGTTGAAAAGGTGGCACCAGTCTGTGGTAAGAGGCGAGGACATCACCAAGGAGGAAAATCAAACCAGACTTTTCTATTTCTACTCATTCAGAGATGACTATTTTCACCAAAAAGGAAACAAAAAATACTGTTTAAAAACATATAGCATATATCAGTCCCTTTACAGTATGTGTTTAGGTTTAACCTGTTTTTTGTGTATGTGTTAATCAGGTTCAAGGTTATTGTTAAGCTGATTCCAATTTTTATTTATTACCCTGTGGTCTAAGTGAGGCAATACTTCCGAAAAGGTGTTCATACATGTCATGTTATTTCCACAGAAAATAATTACACCCGAGTGAGCAGATGGGAAGAGAGGAAGTCAAGAGTTGGGAAGATTCTCACCACTAGCTGGGGCTGTGCTGTGAAAGGCCTTTATTTCTACAAATTAAATCAGAGTCATTAGGAGTCTGTACAGCATCTCTGTGCGTCCACAACAGTATTGCAACTGGGTCTCGCTGATGGCACGGGAAGGACGGGAAGAATTGAAAATTATTATTCTTGGCTTCTCTTCTGAAGAACAGCTAATTTTATTTGAAGTAGAAGCGGCCACTCAGAGCCAGAATGCAGATGGCGCTACGTTACAGACAGTGGTGACAGAGCTGTGGGCTAGTTGTTTCTGCTGAGCCTCTTCCACTGGGGCTGCTGTCACACTGAGGGGACACATCTGAACTAGAGCTGACGATTCCACACACACACACACACACACGGAGACAGGCTCACACACAAACACATGTTCCCTCTGACACCAGCACCCAGAGAGCCATCAGTAACCAGAGCCACTAGCTGCTCCTGCTCCAGCCTTAATGGAGGGCCTGACCTCTGCTGCACTGAGTTATTTCCACCCTCCCCAAAATTTTTAGGAAATGCAATGAATTGAGTGTGTGAAAAATAGGAAGAATGGTGGACTAGTATCATACGTTCTTTTTTTTTTTTAGTGAAGAACCTTAAAAGTCATTTCATCTTGCCTCCCACTTTGCAGCATCCTGTGGCCACTTGAACTATAATAAGAAGGTGGTTTGAGGAGGAGAGAAAAACATATTGGGAGAACAGCCTCTAGCAACCACTGGAGCTTCAAGGTAAATTGGTAAAAGCAGCGTTTTCCATTTATGCATCTACAGAATAAAGTATCCCCTGGGAGGACAACCATTCAGAGCCTTACAGTTACTGTACAGTAGGGGGCATGGACAGAGAAACGATTGGTTGACACGTCAACGTGAGTGGCACCTCACATTGACGAGGAGTCAAAAAGCCAAAAGCATTTTTTTCCCCCATGTGCCAACACAATTCTTACTGATATTTTATCACCGATTTGACCAACAGTCATAACCACATCTAAAAATGGGCGATAACGTGACTCTGCATGGAAGGAATATTTACAGGTGGCTACATTAGCAGAGGATGAAAATTAATTTAACTTGAAAATGTATACTACTGTATTTTCCAACCTTTTTTTTTATTTGAACCCGGGTGAAGTTTGTGTTTAAACTTGTTTCTAACCATGGGGCAATTTCGTTGGCTCTGCCACTCAAGGTCATATAAACACAATGTCCCCTGTTTAAAAATCAGGAGACCATCTGGAGACCTTTGTCCAATGTCACACTGCAAACTCTCCCTGTTTCAAAGTGTAAGCTTTCAAATAAAGGCAGGGAAAGGAATACAAAACGTAGCACTGGGAAGATGTCTAAATGAGCTTTCAAAAAAATAAACAGTTCCTAATAATTTACCCAAAGGTAAAGTGTTGTGTAGAAAAGCTCAGTGACTTTTGACTCTATATTTAATTAGAGGAATCACCTATTTGTCGAGTGACAGTGTCACAGGCAGCTTTTGTAAACAGGTAGAGGAGGTTTCCTCAGAGCTCCAGCATGGATGAAGACATCTCTCTGCTGTGAAAAGAACTGTCTGACTGTGCCAGGGACACTGGGACAATCAGCCCCGGAACTGTTACAGTGTGACTACACACAGATTAATTTAGGCATTAGAAGATGGATATAAAAAGGAGAGCATTTAACATGCCTTTTTAAAATGGAAAACACCGGATTGCTAATTAAAATGATGGCATTAATGTGACACTGTGAGAGGCTGACTGCATGAACATGAGAGCTGATGGAGCATTAGTCATTTTTACCCTTATGACAAACAAGCTGCATCATTATTTCAGTCAGTCAGACAGGAATATAAGCATTTAAATAGACATTTTCATATACTTTCAACGAACCAATAATCCTAGCACCTTTTTTCTAACAATTTTCAGTCATCATATAGAGCAACCAATCGTCCAATCCGGCCAGAAAAAGAAAATATTGTGTTGTCTCCACTATTAAAGCAACTGAAATAAAACCGAGACTGAACTAACAGTAATACCTACCATTTATGACTCTATTTACATTCCGTTAGACCAAAAATATGATTTTTATTTGTCTACCACCCCCAAGGTCTTTTTCAGATCCGAAAATCTCTTTCCTGTGGCACGATGTGGGAAGAAGCAAACAGTGTAGCTCGCCTGCTGTGATAGAATCACACTGAAGGACACATGAAGGTTCATCACAAAAGGGGTAAACAGAGCTGAGCGCAACCTCTCCATCACCTGAATTATCCACCGTTCAATTAGCAATCATGTCCTCGTTAATTCCCTAATTTGCGATTACGCCGTGCTCATCTACTTGTGAGAGGACGCACTACATAAAATCAATAGGATTAGGTTTCATTGATATGCATGAGCTAATGGGAGGCTGTAGTAATGTTATTTACATGACACATAGCCCTCTGGCAGATTCCATTCTGTGGCCCATCCAGTAGCGGAGGAGACACAGCGAGTGATGCAGTTATTATCAGACATGGACTCAACCTGGAACATCATTAAAAGCACAATTGTTGTCATTCCTTTGGGAAAGTGTTAACTGTGACACTCCTTGACTCAAAGATGAGGTTGTTAATATTGATCCGTGAACTTTAGCCAAAAACTTGTTAAGAAAATAGGGGACAAAGCAAAGCTTTAAAAAAAAAAAAAACCCACATTGGACGTTATCTTTTCTTTGGAAAGTATAGTATTGGTGGAGGTGTTCCAAGTCCTGCAAAAGTCTTTGCTGGCAATGACAAAGACTGATGGTGAAAAAATGTGCAAGGAGCAACCGTATACATATTGATCAGCTTCAGGAGGACAAACAAGGGTCCAAACACAAAGGCCGGAGTGTCTCATCCCACAGTATCATTATGTCCACACCTCGAGAAAAGCCTACAGGTCAATACCGCAGCGGCCGAGGTGCTGTGTTGTAGGCTAGGAGACTTAATAAAGCAGACTTATTGTGTGAGAGCAGACGGGTCGATGGTACTCCCTCCAGATGCAATGCATTTTCACAGCGGGACAGGTGGCTGCACCGTGCAAAGTGGGCCTGGAGCAGAGGTCAACCTATTCAATTCATCAGCAGCAGAAAGCAGGGAGTGGTGGAAGTGAGGGAGTGATCGCGATGGAAGAGAGTGTATTATCACCCTGGGGGTCTCTGACCACAGATATCTTACATTCTCCTCTAGAAAGGGTGACAAAGCTATAAACCCATATCGCTGAAAACATGTTTGTTTGAAGTGCATTTAATTTTAATACAGTGTGAGCTCACCTTCTCATAGAAGCGCAGTTCGTAGTCCAGAATGATGCCATTGGGCTGTTCCGGCTGTGGCCATGAGAGAGTGAAGCTGTTCATGGTGGAGCTGATCTGGTGCATGATGGGAACTATGGAGGGAGCTGTGGGGTACAGGGAAACAAGGGTAAAACAAACGAAATACATTTGGTAACACTGTTCAGAACACATTCTGTATGACAACAAGTATAAAGAAACCAAACAGTTGTATTTCTGTGCAAAAAAGGGGAAAAAATATATCAATAAAAATATAAAAAAATATAAAATACATATATACATGCATTATCACTAATTAAATCATTTATCAAAAATATATAAAAAATAAATAAAAATATAAAATATATATAATATATATATACACATGTATTATCACTAAATAATTTAGCAAAAAAAATACATATACATACATGTATTATTATTAATAAATACTTTACCAAATTTTACTACTGGTAAAAAGTATTTTTAACTACTGTATATTAAAGTTCCAACATTTTGAGGTGACATTTCAAAGATAACAGAATTCTAGAGCGTAGACTGTGTCCCATGTCTGACTCAAACCACACACAGTGCAGATATCACCGCGCTGCAAACAGTGTGAATTTTCTTTGGTACAACTTCCACTTTAATAACTGTCCAGGTACCAAGCTGAGTCGAGGCTGATCGGAGTCACAGTCAGGTATTTTCTGGCAGCGTGGGACAACATTGGCCAAGGTACCGCTGCCAGAATGGGCTGCAGCTTGAGAGTGTGGACACGGGGTAAATATCACTTGCGGTGAGCAGTGCTACCTCTCTGCCAGAATCATCACTCTGGCTCTAATCCAGGAGCACAGTTGTGGTACTGAGGAGTTTTTAATATATCCATCTTTTTTTTTTTTTGCATTAATTTGTGCAGGTGACAAAGAAATATTTGAACCCCCACACCCCTTTAATTCAGGAAAAGTCATTATTCCTGAAGTCTATTTATGGAGATAATGCAGTCTTCTGTCATTATTTTGGATATAAATACAAACACTGTCTGTCTGAATGCAGACACGGGGGTGTCATTTTACCTCTACAGGCTTCGACTTGTCCCCTTAACTTTTTGTCGTCTCCTGCTCACTCCTCCATCTCCTGCTGCTCCTCACTCTTCACATGCGGATAAGTGGTTATTTTATTGGACAGGAGAATGACATCATCTGCAGTCGGAAGGAAGTGTCGGTGAGTCTACACAGTCGGAGCCCTGATGACTGGACCACCGTAACTTGTTGAGAAACGAGGGGCTTATTTATACACACTGTGAATTAGCTGAATGCGTTTTTACAATGTGGATGTCAATGCTAAAAGTTAGGATTTTTTTGTCCTTGTATGGACAGTGGAGGTTTTAGTTTACGTTTGTAGGCAACAGGGCTGAACATAGAAAGATTCAATGAACAGTTCAAAACTTGCGAACTCAAAACTGAGGGACGTATATATGTGTGTTTATATTGTAAGCTGTACAACACGTCACAACTCATTTGAAACGCTCGTTTTTCTATAAAAGTTTAATTAGTAAATCTCCTTCTCCACACATTTACCACAGCGCAGCTCGTCGTTAAACTTTAAATGGCGTGTTGCTAAGTGTCACACCTCCATGTTTCTTTGAAGCGCATGAATTTGAAACTAAATTTTTCATGTCTTCTCAAATGCCCCATGAAATTGAGCGTTTGGAGATAAATCCTCGCTAACCTCGCTGATCAAAGCCATTCAGAAACACACAATGGCATTTGATGAAAACCGATTCCGTGACTCCTCGTAAAAAAGTTCAAATCTCCTCTGCCTTTAGCACTGCAAAAAGGAATCTCCACCTCACCCCCTCCCTCACCCCTCATGTCTGAAGGCATGAATACAACCCCACACAAGCCCAAACCCTGTATTTTGCCTAATAGCCCCTTGGCTCGGGGTCTGTTTGCTGCTGAGGTCTAGTCATTTCTCCACCTGGTTTCCTCTCACCATCTTCCTGAATAACCTCTATTCAGAAAAGCAGTGAATGGCAGCCTCTCCGAACTGAATGGTGCCTGAAAAAAGTTTTTTTTTCATTATGTATTTTACCTCCCTCTGTACTTAACACTACCATAAACACTGGTAGCAGGGCTCTATTAGAAGCTAATCTGCAGTTTTTCTGAGGTCTTGAGCAAAAGTGAAAAAAACCCAGTATGAACACATCCTGTTCTGTCTCCCTCCCTCGGCCCTCACCTCTCGCCATCCTTCCCCCTCTTCTCCTCTCTCCCCTCTCCCTACACTTGACGTAGAGTGCGAGGGCTGAGCTTCACCTCGCTACACTTCAGGCTTTCTGCCTCTCAAGCTGGTTCGCGCTCCACTGACCAGGGCTAGCCTTGCCTGGGCTGCATTATCAATTACCGGCCACAGGCACACACAGTTCCTGACAGACCCAGGGGAGAGGCACTCCACACAGACATTCCTGCAGAAGGAAGGAGGGGTCTGAGGTGCAGTACCTCCACAGGGCTGTGGGAACAAAGTCATACTACAAGTGCAATGTATTTTCCACTTTTTAAATGCCAAATTTCATAATTATTATTATTGTATTTTAGCTCATGATTGTCCCAAACTCGCTCTGTGATCTACTGGTAGACCCTGATCCACTTGTTGGGCAGCCCTGATGAATAAATTGTGAAATTCAGTGCCAGAAATAACCCAGTACAGATTAAAATTACAAACAAATATAAAAATACTGTAAATCTGACTTTGGCTTCATTTAAAAGATAACTTTCAAACTAAACTTTTTGTGTCCAGCTACAAAACAAGAAACAAAAGCCATTTTGATCAGGAAACGTTGTATAAAAAGCATTGGAACACGTGCGTCTGTGTCCAGAGAGAGAGAGCCTACGTGTGAAGAGCCAGTCAGAGAAAATGTGTCAGGCCCGTACGAGGATGAGGTTCAGCCCGATGAGGCACAGTTGTCCCCTCCAACTGCCGCCCCCCTCCCCCCACCACTGTTACCATGGGACGACGAGGCTGACAGTGATTGGTGACTGTGTCCTGCACTCCTCTCTTCACCCTGCATCTTTCCCATCCCCTGCTCCTGTGCTCCACTTTTATCTGGCCCCACTTGCTGCCCCTGGCTTTTAATGCAGAGCTTGGATCACCATTAATCAAAGTCAAAACCTCCTGGTGTCAGGACGATACAGAGAAAGAGAGAGAGAGAGAGAGGGAGAGAGAGAGAGAAGGAGGCAGAGAAAGAGAAAGAGAGGAAAAAAAGAGTTTAAGAGAAAAAAGAGAATACGAATGAATGTGGCGATAGAATAAAAATCATATTTTGCGGAATACAATGGAGTTACTGCATTATTTTTTACACGTCTGCTGAGGAGCATCTGTTTTTATTATGGTACCTGCGGTGTACAGCCATAATTCTAATGTTATGGGGAAGGACTATCATATCAAATGTGCTGTTTGATATATTGAAAGACGACTCCGGCTGTACAGTATTTCACCTCCATAAAGTTTGGACTGAGAAGAGACAGACTATTTGCGAATGACGCTGTGCCAGAACCCATAATGCTACTGAGGAGTGTATTTTTTTCTTATATTGTCTCTACATGTCTAGTCTGTGCACACGATGTGCAACAGTGAATCTTTGTAGAACAGTGGAATTTATAACAAGGAATTTGAACCCCCCAAGAGCAACATCTAGAGACTCTTCAACGTCGGCCACACTAATAAGGCTTTTAGGTGTCACTCATGAACTGGTGTGTTGAAGTGTAATAGCCCAGCCACGTCATTATGTGGTGCTACATGTGGAAAACAGCTTTGTTTACAGTTGCACATCATACATTGTGCTACTTTTACTGTCTTTGTTTGGTTTGTCTTTTAGGGGGATTTTATTCCCTTCATTATGACTCCCAGGTGTAAGTCAGACTTCTCTGTTGTTTTTATGTCCTGGATTATGATGTCACCACTGTGTCAGCGTGGGTGAGAAATAGGTATTTATGTACAGTATGTGTGTTCAGACCTATGGTAAAAATGAAGTTATGTGTCTACAGCACATACAGAAAAATTGTGAGTCTCCAGAAAATGAAAAAAAAAATGGACAAGGGGAAAAAAAAGCACAGACTCCATGCATGTCTTATAGGTAAGAACCCTAACAGTACAGTACAGCACTGCTACTCCTGCTGTCATTTATGAAGACATCATAAAAAGTGATGAGAGGGCTCTGGAGCCATCAAACTATCACACTTGTGTTTTTTCGCCTGCAGCTAACACTTCACATTTTGAGCTCAGGAAAGAGATCCAACATTTATGAGAACAGGCATCACATTAAATAGGAATAGCGCTCAGAGACAGAAGATGATGAAATTCATGGACACCCCTATTCTGATATCAGCAGAAAGGCATGAAACGCTCAGAGAAAAGAAGAAAAAAAAACAATTGAGAGATTCTTTCTTTTCAAGCTCTGAACTACACTCACCTAGTAAGTCGCGTCCTGCACGACCGTCACAGCCACGTTTGCCTTATACTCATCTTGTTTAAGAACCCTGCAGAGAACAGACCTGTGTACTTCATCTCCTTCTGTCTGTAGTCTGTAGCAGCACACACACGGTACTTTGAATGCAAGATCACTTGCCCGTAGAAGGCCGGGGATAATGATGTTTGCATTTCTGTGGAAATGCTGCTGCAAACAGAACATCAAAGCCGTTGCGTGTTGTTAGTAGATAATCTCAGGCATTCTGCGGTCTGAGGTATTGTTGGTACATTATCTGGGTCAAGACGGCTGTGCCAGTAAGATCGCGGCACTGTGGAGCGTCGAGCGTCAGTCGGAAAGAATGGCACCATTTTTATGATTTGTGTTCTTTTTTTGTTCCTCATTGTTCAAGAAGCCACCGCCGCATAAACACTCAGTGTGGAAATGGAGTCGTAAATATACGAAGGATTAACAAGTGGAGGTAAGTGTTTAGATGGATCGGTAAGTAATCAGAATGACATCAGAAATCATCCAGTTGTCCCATGATTTCCACACAATTCGCATAAACAGCATTTATGCCCGTCACAACCTGCCTCTCTGTGGTTGGACAGCGTGTTAATAAATTATACAGAGGGAGAAAATGTCCCGTACCCTGCTAAATAAACCACGGCGTGTCATAACGAGACATAAATTGGTTCTCTCGCAGCAGCTAACGTTGATAAATATGAGCAAACACGGCCCAGACATGAGTGATAGTCTTTGAGGTAGCAGTATACTACATCCTTTACGTGTCTATATCCCTGTGTGTGTGTCCGTGTGTGGGTGTATCTTCTGGAGAGCGTAGACATCATGAATGAACTCCTAAATCACACTATTGATCAGGGCTTCCTCACAGACACATGGCAGAATAGAGGGCAGTTAAATGGCCCCTGTGGTGATTCACAATAAATATCCTCACCTTTTTTCTTTTTTTTTTCTCCCTTCATGCACACTTTTACTCCTCTCATTGTAGCCTGCTTGTGGTTAAATTCCATTATAAACTGTCACAGCTTCTGCAGACACATAGGCAGAAATGTGATTGATCCTGGCAGTCCATACAAGGATCCAATAACTTCAAAAAGTCCACATTGAGACAATAATCTCACTCGAAGTACTTGAAGTACTTCTCTGGCCTGAAATGACCTCAGCATGAAACGTTTCATGTTTACATGCAATGTGCTTTACTCTGCCTTGTTTTTTTTACAATCCTCCAATCCATAATCATTTATTTACAGTTTTTTTTTATAGCTGCACACAACATGGAAGTTCAATTGTGATTTATATTGAGACTGAGGTTTGGAGGAGAATTAAGCAAATAAAAACCGTTACACAACTCATTATTCATCTGCGGCCTGTTTTAACAGCTGCGCTGAGCACAACAGTGCGTGCTCGACTGTGCCACATTAAAATGACTTTACCTCTCGTTCGGATTATGAAAAATAAATATACTGTAGGACGAAAATATTCGGAGATGACGCATATCTGAGTACGTGTGCTCTCCTTAATCACGGCCATGTGACACAAACAAAGAAATCTGTCTAATGTACTAGCAGTCTTGGCCGAGGGACAGACGAAGCATTATGTGAAATTGGGGTTGTGTATTGTTCATCTGTTAGGTTCCAACAGTGCCAGCCTGTTCTTTTGTCTCCTCGCTAAGACCTTAAGTCAACTGTGAAGTCTGCTCTATGAATATGACTTTAGCTTGATTAAAAACACCGGCGGTTTATCTGCACCGTAGGTCAAGGGGGGTCATCTACAGACAGCAAGATTAGTTGAAGAAAAAGTTCCTGCAAAAATCCCAGTAATGTGCTGAAAGGATTCAGACTGCTTTAGAACAGCACTGAGGAACAGCAGCTCTGTTTGTCCACGTGCAGGTGTATTTGTCTGCAGGATTTTAAATCCCCGGGTTCAGTCTGAAGGCCAGGCCACCGGTATGTAAGAGAAGTGCATGCCGTGGATGATGCACTGCTCACTGTATGAAGGGATGAGAATGGGTAAAGGGCAACCCTGTCATGAAAGACACCTAGAATGGCCATAAAACCTGAATAAAAAGTCAGTGTTTTATCGCTGACTTTATTGAATAGTCACAATCCAGAAGTTCAAACCTCGCAAAGTTTAAACCATTTTTTCCCCCTCTTTTCACTTGATTCAAATGTCAGTTAACCTGCAGGTGAATAGTTTGGACCACTTTGTGGGTTTAACTCCACAATTAATAAAACATAATGGCAGGAATATCGGATAATTTTCATCCTTAAAGAAAGGAGCTAAAGGAACATACGTCAAAACAATACAATCAATAGATTCTAACCCGGAGCCTATTCATTGACACCGGGCTTTTTAAGCATCAATTACAACATTTATCTTCTTTTCTGTGACCCCTGAATGAAGCCCCCCAGTGGAAACTAAGAACACCACAATTATCTGGTAATAAAAAGTGCCACAAAGGGCTGGACCCAGGCCTGGTACATTACTGGTAGACACCTCAATACTGCAGCAGAATTCAACAATAGGTCGGAGTTGCTCCTTCTACATCTCTCTGTCAAGCACGCTATTAGTCTGTCAATCCCAGACAGTCAGTGCTATTAGGGCACGGTAATGATTATATATATATAGACCTATTTACCTGCTCATTTTCCTCTTCTTCTCCACAGACACTCTAGTGTGCTCTAGTCAAATATACACCTGCCTTTTTTAAATGTAATAAATACATTGTATTTCCCACATGAGAACTTCACCCCAGCATCGTGTTTCTCTACCAACAGGATGGAACTAACTTAAAAAAATAAATGGCATTTATCCAAAATAAATTAGGTTGGTCCTGATTCAGGTTGGAGGTTATTTAAGCCAAAAACTCAGCAGTTACACTTGAATCATCCACAGAATATAAAAAAAAGACTAGACTAAAATGTTGACTTTGTCAATACTCGACCCCCGATGGCTGCGGCTGAGAAACAGTCTGAGATCCACGGAGCATGAAAGAGACTGTGGACGAAAAAGATTTCCTTTTGGCTGCGCTCATATCCTATCACAGACTCTGGCTATTTTTTTTCCGTATCTCTTTCTCTTTCACAGAGACAGATGGACGCAGGGAAGTAGAGAGACAGATAGAGAGACAGACACAGAGGGAGAGAGAGAGAGAGAAGGGAGGATCGAGAAAAATAACAGGATGAAGGTCAGTTCCATTGACTGGGCTAATATCCATCACCAGCTCCACACACACACACAAGGATGAAAAACACAGACAGACAGACAAGGAGACGGAGGACGGAGAAGGAGAGAGAAGCCAGGAAGAATATTTGACTTGTCCTTAAGACAGCAGCTGTTCATCCGTCTTGGTTTTGTTCTCAACTAGATGGATGTTAAATTAATGATCAGTGAACACTGCTGTTGAATTGGGATTTTACAACCTATGTCAGCACTGACAGTGTTCTTCTCATACATGCCAGAACCAATGTTTACCTACAGCCCAGAAAGTTCTGCAGCTGCTGAGCTCAATCAATAAAAACAAAAACCCAAAAGAAATGAAGTCTTTTAATCTTTATTCTTTTTATTGGTTTTAATTTTTACTTTACTTTTTACTCCTAATTGCTCGACACTCTGCAGCAGCTACTATCTGCTGAAGGTGCAGCACAAATAAATCTTACTTACTGGCTATTAATTTGAAACATTTAAAGGCTAACTTTAATTGGGATTTGGCCTTGACGGAGAAGGCAACAGCTTGCCATGAAGCGCGGCTCTTAAACAGTCCAATTAAACAGAGTCGGTGTAAAACAAATCTCACCAGGACATGCACATAAAAGGCTTATTTCTCACTAATAGGGTTGTTTTGGAGATTGTTTTTAGGATGGTACTGCTGGAACTCATACCGTGTTCTTTCGTCTTTAGTTTCTCTCCGTCCCGCTTGCTGTGGACTGGTGAACTGCGCCATAGTAAAATCAATAACTTGACCGTTGTACAGTTCGTAATAAACTTTATGATATGATTATGCTGTTTCACCATTTATATTTTAGATGCTATTTCTACTAGAAAATTCTATTTTCAGATGAGTGACATCTGCACGGTTATTTTCAACCACTGTGCAACCCACGCTCTGTAGTCATTATTCATGGTTAAACTTTTTGAATGGGCAGGATCTATGCTGTGGAGTGAAACACTTAAATGACATAAAGAAGCCGGCACCAGGAGTTTAACTCCAGTCCAAAACTTTTGCTTCCGCTGTTCTAATGTATTTTAGCTTTCCACCTCCATATCCCAAAGTGCATAATACGTCCTTAACGAGACTTAAGGAGTGTGAGCGAGATCACCCCGATCTGACGCCCGATCATTGTAGCCAAATTTTAATAAAAGGAAACATTGTGTTTAAAACCACACTGACCTTGAGTATAATATTTTCAAAATGAAAACCAACCTAAAATTGTTTTAAAAACAGGCAGAAATATAAAGGAAGAAAAGATCAGATGGCACAAACACGCAACAGCCGCACTGAGGCCGTTTAATCACGGCAATTATTATCATTATGTGCCATTATATCAAATGGGTCAGTGAAGATGTCACGATCACTGCAGTGTCCCACACAACGTCATTACGGTTGTCACATTGACGCAGCCACTTACCAGCCTGATTGGTGGTGATGTCGATGGAGACATGCTGTGCAGGATAAGGGCTCTTATTGCTGACTGCATTGACAGCCTGTATCTCAAAGCTGTACAGAGTGTGAGCCAACAGGTTGCTGATGAACACCCTGGTCTCAGTCAGACCCAGCTGTTTCGGAACGAAGTCCACGTTGTCGTCACAATGCGAGCAGGAGCGTCGGTCAGCTCGGCACTTCTTGCAGACGATGTTGTAGCTGATGTCGTCACGGCCGCCCGTTTCTCTCGGAGCGTGCCACTCCAGGATCACAGAGGTTTCGTTCACGATAGAAATCACATTTCTGGGGCTGGATGGCACGCCTGGAAATGAGACAGAGGAAAAGTTGGATGTCAAGAACAATTTATTTTTTTCTCTAGTGCCAAATTTGACATCTGCTTTATATTCAAGATCGCTGTTCATCCAAAGTCAGTTCAGGCTGAATGCTTTACTAAACAAAAAAAATAAAATAAAAATTAAACCGGGAAATGTTTTTGTCAATCCATCATTGACTGTTTCTCTAAGTGCACATCTGCTTTGACTCTTTCCTAAAAAATGGCCATGCAGAATCACACTCCCATTTAGTCACTCATACGCTCCAAATAAACACAGAAAATAAATTTCATTTTGCTCAACTACTGCCTAAATATCAGAGAGCAGATGTGATTGTTCCAACCTTCTGCAACTAAAGCACAATTGCACAATCCTCAAACAGTCCAACTGTGCTCAGATGGCATGGTAGAAAATTGCCTGTCCCTCCAGACCTTATTCTTTCTCCAGACACTGCAGTTGAAGTAGAATCAACTTAAGTTGAGTGAGACGGCCCATGCACAGCTGAGCTGCCAGCAGCCTACGCTCAATGAAGCTCATTTAAAAAAAAAAAAAAAACGAACTCTGAAGAATTACTCAGGTCTGTAAGATGGTGTTCATTTCATCTTCAACACTTTTCATCTTTATCCGTTAGAGAAATGTGACAAGAGGATTACATTTACATTTGCAAGCACGTTTTGATGGAGTGCTTGGATTTCCTTTTTCTATTAGACTTCCATTATGCTTTGCTCAGCTGCAAAACTGTCAGCGACGGGCATGGGCTGGTGAAGTTGTGGTCGAGAGAACGACAGTACTGGTGTAAATGTACTGTATGGTCAAACGGTGTATTACTGTGTAACCTGAATTTACCTTGATGCCTTTACAACAAAAACAAACTACAGGTCATGTGACACACCTAACACCCCCCCCCCCCCCCCCCCCAACAGGTACTGAAATCAACATGTCTCCTGTATCATTAACCACATGTATGCACTTTTGCCTGACCCAGAAGTGAGAAGCATTATCACACCTGCCCATGTGGGAAATGAATGGAACCCAGGCACTATTTACACAGTGTACAGGATTCGTGGAGGTGTGAAGCCCACTTCACGTTTCCATCCCCATTACACACATCTGCAGACGGCATAAGAAATCGAATGTGACTGCCACGTTATTCAGTCATTTGTGAACCAGTGCTGTTGCCTTGGGCTGTTATAATTGCCGTAGAATTTAATTTGTTTAGTTACAGGCTCTCAGCCTGACTTAATCTGGTTCCAATAAATACAGTCTGTATTCTCTGCCACCACTTTAAAAAAGGGCGAGATGTCATTTCCAAGCGGACTCTTAAACATCACTGATGTTAGTGTAAGGGCTTAATAGCAGAAGACATTGTTTGAATAATAGATAAAAAAGTTCTCCTTGGAATCCAGGTTATTTTCTTAACCCTTGAGGTAGCCATTCATGGTCAAACCTCAGAAAAGTGTGAATAAATATTTTTTCCAAAGATCGCACCAAGTCATAGATAATACTTATAGCCATATGAGGAGTCTTTGTCAGCTGAACATGCAGAAACAGCTGCGTTTCTGTGTTACAGTAACAGTCACGTAGGAGACTTTAGTAAAAGGATGCAGCAATCACACATTTGACTACACAGAACCAGACAGAAACATTTCTATGGAAACATTTTCTCCCATTACCTGTTAAACAATTCAACGTGAACACAACAGTAGAACGTCAATTTTTTTCAAATGTGATACCATACTAAAGTGTGTTATTTTCTGTTTTGTTTGTGAATGTCAAGGGGTCTAAAGCATTTTAACCCACTCTATGAGTATATAAAAATAAAGTCTTTCCCTGCTGCCCTGCTGGTGCCTGCAGACTGCTGCAGGTGATGTTATGCTATAGTGCATAACTGCCCTGCTACACAGAGGCTTTTTTAAGGTTCCTCACTGGGCTGCTAATATAAAGAGCACCCCAGTGCCCAAAATAAATGTGCGCACTGTTTACTCACCCACACTTTAAAATGTCTCCGACCGACACTTCACTTCTCTTAAAATGTTTGTTTTTATGATGTGAAACAGGCCTTGAGGGACCAGCAGAAGGTCCCCGAGTGAAGATACTGATCACAGCCAGAGGAGCTGGTATAAAGATGGAAGGCTTGTGTGGGTTGGTGAGACATGAAATAAAACTGGCTTGAAGGTCCTACGCTAGCTGGCCGGGAAAATGACGGAGTCAAAGATGGCTGTTTGACTGCCGTGCAGCTAAGGAGATATAGATGATTCCAGAGTGGGAAGGTTGTTGGTTGATACGACCGCAAGCTAATGGATTTTATCTTATGCTGCAAAATGAAATTTAAACCCATTATTCTGTAATATAAATAAAACAGCTGCCAGTAAAATGATAAAGTATAATGATAACATTTTTATATTAATGTATACATAGAGCCAACCATATATATATATATATATGCATACATACATACATACATACACAGATATACATTTATGAATATACTGTATGTTTATATATGAGTAGTGGCAACATATATATATATATATATATATATAGTAGGGTGTGTGCACATAGAGAGAGAGAGAACTATGCAATATCTCAGTGCCGTGGTAACAGTAACCATCCGACTGTTGAAACTCTGTCCAGTCACATGTCTCTCTGTCCAGCTGGTGAACACCATCGAAAACCTGTGTCCAGTCACGGCTCCTGATGTGAAGAGAAACGTCCGACTGTCTGTTCCACAGGAAGGTCTGCCTCCAGAAAGGGTAAACAACAAAGTGGTAGAGAGTGCTAGGCCGAGTAACTCATTTTTAAAAAACTAGTGCACCTTTTAAGAAAATATATGGTTTTACTTTTCAAATGGTATCTCGCAGAATACAAGGGAATACAGCTAGTCTGTTATTATAAGCAGCATTTTTGCCCTCATGGTTTGTAAAACAAGTAGAATCTGTGTCTTTATTTGTCTTGGAAATCCAGGAGTCCTTCTGTTGAATCAATAAAATCTCTTACTTTCACTGTGTATCACAGCAGCAGCCTCATCCTGCTACAGCCTCCTCTCCCCTATGGAGTAATCAGTGCTGGTTTCACTGCCCAAAACTAGCACATATACATTCACATTCATTATTTTTCCACATATGTGCACCCCTGGGGTTTCTCAGGTCCCTAACACTGTGGTATGAGGCCCAGGAAAGGGACCAAGAGGGATTGCGGTGCAAACCATTGTCCCAAAGCTCACAGTGACGAGTAGCCAAGCTGAGAGAAGTGCACTTCACACTGTGAGACAGAACACTTTGTGCTCCTCCCTTCAGGCGCTAGCTGTAATCAGTACAAGACAGAGAACTGGGATAGAAAAAAAACAATGAGGGTGAAGGTAGAGGGCTGGTTTTGGAGTGTATTTTACTGCATAATATGTGTTATTGGAGGTGGCGTAGCATATAGCACCCCCCTCTGCTCTTCCTTTGACACAACCAGCTGTTGGCCAATCCATCTGCAGGCTGATCAGACTGATCTGCAGCACAAAGAAGCGCATGCCTTTTACGCCGCTGGAGAGAGTTAAAGCTCCAGCTTCTGCTGCTGCAGGTTAGCCTGATTTAAGCCACTCAAGCAGTGCACTTATCAGGACCTGCAGCATTAAAGTGATTCTCACCAAGATAATCTTACTTCCACCCCGCTGAGATCTGGGCCAGCCTTTTATAGTAATTGCAACTGCACGGTACCTTTGTAGAATGCTTTTAATGCATTGCTATACATTAATTGCACGCTCAAATTGATAGTTGGAGACTTGTGCATCAAGCAGTTTGTGGATGCGGGAAACATGTAATGAATAATTTACATTGATACAGCTGTTATAGTTTTCCACGTTTTAACTACTCTGGTGAAGACTCTACAGTATGTACTACATAGAAATACACTACAGATCAGATCAGAGAAGATATGACTCCAGTAGACACAGTGCAACTAAACTAAACGCAACACAGGCAACATTTAACAACTGAGCACAGACCAGAGGGACCACTTCTGGTAGCACCACCATGAAAGCTATTCTGGAAATTGCTTGGGGAACATTTCAGGCCTGATGTTAAAGGCAGAGACTGCACTCAATGAAGCATTTACAGTTGTCCCCCTGAGAACTGTGGAGTATTCCACGAGAGCCTGGGAAAAAAACCTGGAGGGGAAAGAAAGGTGCCATCCTCAGAGAACATCCAAAGACTCCAGGTTTGCATGGTTGCTCCTAGTTAGTGTTCAGAACAGAACACTAACAGTGATGTGCTGCCATGAAACATGGGGTGAGAATTAACAACTCTAATGTCCATGAACCACAAAATTCCTGCCTTGTAGTGGAATGTAGTAAATAAGTTACGTAATGTTTACGAAATGTCATGTGCGAAGTCAAAGACGGGATTGTTTTCAGGTAAACAACTGACGGTAACACTGGCCTATGCCACTGCATCAGGCCTTATTGGATCTCCAGTGGATAACGGCGGGACAGCGCCAGAGCTTTTGCAACATCTGCCTAAGTAATTAGATCTTCAGGGGATGATAGCGAGCAAAAAGAGAGAACAACACCAAGAAGAAGAGACAGTCGGAAAGAGAAGAGTGATAACTGAGGGGAATCAGCAGATTGGCTCGGGCGTGCAGATGTCTAAAACTGAAACCATGCACTGAAACATTCATAATTAAAGCTGGTAAAAAAAATAAAAATGTTAAATAAACAGTACATTAGAGTGAAATATTTTTTACATAACAAAAATGTCTTAAAATGTATCTTTCTTTTACTGCTCAACCAAATTTATTGATAATATTTATAAATACTGACCGTCCTGTCTGAGCCTGGGATGAGATAATCTGTAATTACCTTCACCAATAGACCTATTTAAAAAAAAAAAAAGAAAAAAGAGGGCCCAGTTCTAAGCCCCCCTGTCTGTCCCCTATTGGTGGATGTGGGTGACATACAGTACCAAGCTCTTCTTTGTTAACCTTTTACCTCAAACCCTGTGCAGGTTGACCTTTTAATAAAACAAATCCTCCTGATATGTTTTTGAATAATTAAAAAAAATAAACTTTACTTGTTTTTGTTGATGGCATTAATCCCCTACTGTTGTTTTATGTTTAACAGTGGTCAGCAGAAACACTGCAAATCAATACTCTGTCCTTGGCTTGTTAAAATAGAGGGTTTTAATTAATTAGACAACAGCAGGTCTAAGTTTTGTTTATATAGGTGCTGTACAAACTTTCCTGCACGTGGATTTGGTGCAAAGGCACGAGTGTAATTAACACCGTAAAAAGTCTGGAAGTGAATATGTTGAGTACAGTCTACTCACTGGTGCAGGGTTCATCCGGCTGATCTCCGTCCCCACGGTAGTAGCCATTACGGCACACGCAGATGGTGGCGGCCTCAGCTGTGGAGCGGCTGTTAGGAGGACACTGCAGGCACAGACCAGGGCCCTGAGCAGACTTGAAGGTCCCTGGTGGACATGCTGTGAGAGAAGAAACACAGTACGTTTAAAAACGAATCACAAAAAGAAAGGTCACGAGCGAAACATTTCACGTACACTCAGAGATAATGAGTAGTGTGCAGGATTTTTACAGCCAGAGGCAATATTTTAATTAGACAATTAACATACAGTATATACATAGTAATTATACCAAAATGCATAGGACCAGAACATACAAATAACAAAAAAATAAAAGTGATCTTTTCCTACATACTAATCGCCATCTTTGCTTTGTTCAATCCCCATGTCTTTGTTTGTCCTGACAGTCATATCACCTTTTACTCTCACATCCCAAAAGATGACAAAGTGGAGGGCGTTTTTAATGCGTGAGGATGAATTTACTGACTATAATAACTATGATAAATGCCAGCTAAAATATTTCAGATACACTAAGAAGGAAAACCACGGCGCGGCTGCACCGAAGAGCGAAGGGGTTATAAATTTTATGGGACAAGTGTTTTTTTTCTCCAGCTGTGCTCGAGTACGGAGTGTAAAGGGACATTTGGGTCGAATATAAAACGAGTAGTTTCTGTAAGAAAACAGTTTATGCGCCCAAAGGTTTGACTTATCTGGCTACAAAATGGTTTTATTGGCTCCGACTTTACTGGAGCAATTAGGCCGTGCTTGGTAAACAGTAAGTTCATTAAAGCAAGCAGTAATCTCACCGCTACATTGGACACTGCAAGGAAAAAAAAAGGTAGGACACACACACACACACACACACACAGACAGACACACACATTCTGTGGCTGACCTCCCGTTGCGTTGCAGTGCGACGCTAACTGCATGACCTCATGTCCAGTCACAATGCTGTGGTTACTCCTGGCTGGATCATCACATACAAACACACATGTCCAGAGGACAACAACCAGAAAGCGGATAATGGAAGAAGCCGAGAGGAAGATCACAGGTGTGGTGGAGAAAGATATACCTCTGAGCAAATCAAATTGCTTTTGCTGCAAAGCTCCGGAGAGGCAGCATGGAAGACTTTACGGAAATTTGTCACAGAGGACAATAAAACCAATACTTTTTTTTCACACAGGGACTGGAACAGGCTTTTTAGTACGTGATGGAATAAAAGTCTGTGATAAAAGTCTGTGACCTGACCAAACATTTTATATGCAGACTTCACGCAGATTAAACTCCCTCCCCAAAACTAGAACAGTGAGACTTTTAAATCACATCCCTGTCTATGAAGTGGAAGTTGGAAAAGGTTTTTTGGATGCTTTATGGAGCAATAATCTCCAAAGATGCCAAAAAATACAAGATGTTCCCGGATCAAGGCTAGTGGTCTTACATGTTATCATCTTTGTTATTAATATTTCAACAGGAACTATATTTGTCCATTCAATTCACTCTCAAGCATCAGGTGCCCTGGAAAAAAATCTAAACAATTTGTTGAATGTGTTTAATGGGCCGTGAGCAGTGTGTGTGTGCGCTGGGTTCTGCCTTCAGGCTGTGTGTTTACGGACACACAGTAGCTAAAGTGGACAATCATAGATGGACACAGAAGGAAGAAGAGGAAGAAGAAGACGAAGAAGAGCGTGTGCTGAGTCAGACGACTGAACGAGCATCGCTGCAGAAAACCGCCGGAGGCGAGGTAATGCATATGCACACATCTGTACGCTCAAATAAACACCAACCCTGAGGAAAAGTAAAACTCTCCTTTCAGCTTTGAAGCCATTCCTCTCACCCAGAATACATTAACCAACCTGATTTACAAAGAGTCACATGTAACCACTCCTGACCCCATTAAATGTGACGGCACGCCGCTATTTTCTGGCACTTGACTGCTGCACGTTGAACAGAACCTCGTGATGATTTGCTGCCTCCCCTTGGACAACTGAAGACGCCGTAATCAGCATTATTAGGCAGGAGCGAGAGAGGCCAAAAACAAACAGGCAGTCAATCACACGCACATAAATACTTCAAACGCAGATCATTATTCCTCCTCCAATCGTGCTGGGCTCCGTCTAATGGACACATTACATGTGCTTGAATTCTTGCATTAAACTTGTTAATTAGCGTCATGCTGATCCGCCTCGCGCAGCTGAGAGGTGTTTGAAGAAGAAAAACAACAGAACAGATATGGAAAAGTGAGTTTGGGAGAACAGGGAGGTGTTCTGAACAATGTTTTCCGATCCTCAGTGGTCTTGTTCCAAGGCTAGGCAACAGTGGCTGAGCGTTGTTGGGCCTCATCAAATTTGGATCTCAGCCCAAAGTCTTTCCTCCTGATTTGTGAATATTTAGATTGGAGGAGGCCAGGAGTTCCTGTCCCAGAGAAAATGAAGCAATGTTGAGCCATCACTCAGCAAATGTGTTAGTTTTCAGGGACAGGAGGGGATAGAACACTAGATCAACAAGCAATTAGTCTCCCCCAGTGGGAGAGTAGCCCATAAATGAACTGGCTGCACGCAGAAACAAAACATTCCACCTTTTCAACTGGTCCCTGTAGAGTTGGCTCTGCACTTTCTCACTTTCCCCCGTTCATATCCTCTCGCTGCCTCACTGGTAGTGAGTCGGACTTCCCCCCGTTTCCCCTCTCACCTCCCCTCGTTGCCTCCTGTCTGTGACTGACAGGTTTGAGTCTTTTCTGCTCCGTGTCTGTCTCACTGCAGCTCATTCTGCAGTGAGCTGACAGAGGAATGTCAGCTGTGGATCATTGCTCACTGCTCATGACAATCGAACGGCGATGACATCACTGTCACAACAAGCTCCATCCACCAGGACCACCATCGCCACTCCTCCTACAGTAGGTGCCGTTGAGGTTGATTTAGATACAGAAACCATCTCCATCAGGGTGAAGCTAAAGAACAAGAGCAAAAAACAAAAACAAAAACAACAACAAAACAAGAACAGTGATGGAGTCTGCTACATCATCCACATAATTAAATGGAAAATTATCTTCACAGGATTTTTCAAATTGGGGTAAATGGCGATGGAGTGATTGGCATGAAACTGTAACTATAATGAATTATAATCAAGACTGAGAGTTTCAGGGCAGCAAATAACTATTAAACAAACAGGTAATATTTATCAAAGTAGTTTGGTACACGGTAAATAAACATCAGTCAAAGCCAAAAATACCATCCATAATCAATAGTGTGAATTAACAAAGACTGAGAACAGGTTACCTCACAGTAGGATGCTGTAGTACTGAGATAAAAAGCCTGGAATAATAGAGTTATTTCAAAGAAAATATTAAGTTAATTGTGTCTAGTGATGTTAAATGCAGAACATATTTTTCCTGCTATGCTTGATATGTCCAGATAAATTATAGAATTTTTTTTTACGTTAACATGGCGCCAATCCTATTTTGTGAGTTTTTATTTTCAACAGCTCTGCTAATCATTCCAGACTCAGTGCACAGATATTGCCATAACCTCCTGTACATGCACTGTTAAAAAGTTATCTGTAGCTTTAATTGGGTTGATCCTGTGATTTAAACAGACAAAACCCCACAGCTCCCCGTGGCTCAACTTCTCACCGAACACGATTTAAAAATCCACTCATCGTCTTAAAATATTGAGTATTTCCCTCTGTGGACTCCATCAAGTGTTTGACCTTAGCCTCAGTGGTTGGACATGCCGCAAAAAATCCCCCAGTTGCAGTGAGCAGTGTTACATCACTACCTCAGTCTGCCAGCACCTGTGCTAACGTAACCTGAAAAGACCTGAGTTGCTTTGGTTTGAGAGAGCTGTTAACAAGTTCCTGACCAGGGTCAATATATGTGGAGAGAATATCAGTGTTGTACTGTCCATACTGTGTGCTGGTAAGTGATGCAGAGGTTTCTTCTCAGGGTAACATTGTTGGTATAACTGTAGCTGCATTTACTGTTAGGGAATATGTTGGTTAAAAGCGTGGTTCCAGCCCCGCAGTGTGTCATAGTTCATGATCATCAAACTTCTTTCTGGAATGTCTAACCTTCCTGACTGAACGTCTGGCGTCAGTTCTGACATCACCGACTGCCCTGCATGTGGAGGCAGGAAAACAAAAAACAGAGACAGTATCTGCTGATGAGGACGGACGTAGAATCCCTTTGATGCAGGTGTGGTCTGAACCCGACCCTCGTCCTCCAAACATTAACACTGTGACTCTATTACTGCGTGTACATTCTCTGAGATAAATGTGGACCACCCTTGAAAGTAAGTATGAAGTAAAACCTGCACTTGTATGGATATTTAATCTGTACTGATTCCTCCGTACAACTCTAATGAACTTTTTATTAAAATTTAATTGTAAAAAAAATAAATATATATATAAATCCTATATTAAAGTGACATCTCTCACTTTGTATTCCACTATATATATATATGTATGCTGTTGGTGTATGAAATTTTTTTCAGTTAATTTACATTTTATCGAAAAATCTAATTAGAAGTTACAAGTCAGACCTACATTCTGATTAGTGATTTTTGGATTTTTAAAATAGATTTAAGTCTGTATATATCATTGGATGATTACTTATTTTTAAAACTACTGGCAGTTTTAGTCTCCTAGATATTGATTTGTAATTATTTGTAATTCTCTTCAAGCATATTTGAAATATTCATTTACAGAACGTTCACTTTATAAAGGATATAAAAGTATTAAAAGGCCTATAGAACATTAAAATAACAACACTTCTCTAAATATATTACATGACTAATTAGGTTTGACAAAAATACAAAAACAGTTTTGATTGCTTTTGATATGAAATGTGTAAATATTAGCATATTATGAAGACACTCTGCAGACAGGGTGCGTGACCAGCAGAGGTACACAAGCTTCCTGTTACTGCTTCAGCTGACCCCAAACAGCAACTCTTTGGCCGACAATACACCCTTAACCCTGGCCCTCATCCATCACATGGGATGGATCACAGTCCTTAAAAGCTTTAGAGTCATGCCTTCAACCAATCACTCACAAACACTCATACAGATAGGCTTATGGTTGGGTCAAGACCCCAGTTGACCCCTATTTTTCTGTTTGGTTGCTCAGTC